CCCTCTTTCACAGTCTCTTCTATGACAGTATTACAGTGTTAGCCCTCTTTCACAGTCTCTGCTATGACAGTCCTACAGTGTTAACCCTCTTTCACAGTCTCTTCTATGACAGTCCTACAGTGTTAACCCTCTTTCACAGTCTCTCCTATGACTTACAGTGCAGTGTTAACCCTCTTTCACAGTCTCTTCTATGACAGTATTACAGTGTTAACCCTCTTTCACAGTCTCTTCTATGACTGCAGTGTTAACCCTCTTTCCCAGTCTCTGCTATGACAGTTCTATTACAGTGTTAACCCTCTTTCACAGTCTCTTCTATGACAGTATTACAGTGTTAACCCTCTTTCACAGTCTCTGCTATGACAGTCCTACAGTGTTAGCCCTCTTTCACAGTCTCTGCTATGACAGTCCTACAGTGTTAACCCTCTTTCACAGTCTCTGCTATGACAGTCCTACAGTGTTAACCCTCTTTCAAGTCTCTTCTATGACAGTCGTACAGTGTTAACCCTCTTTCACAGTCTCTTCTATGACAGTATTACAGTGTTAACCCTCTTTCACAGTCTCTTCTATGACAGTATTACAGTGTTAGCCCTCTTTCACAGTCTCTGCTATGACAGTCCTACAGTGTTAACCCTCTTTCACAGTCTCTGCTATGACAGTCCTACAGTGTTAACCCTCTTTCACAGTCTCTGCTATGACAGTTCTACAGTGTTAACCCTCTTTCACAGTCTCTGCTATGACAGTCCTACAGTGTTAACCCTCTTTCACAGTCTCTGCTATGACAGTCCTACAGTGTTAGTCCTTTTTCACAGTCTCTGCTATGACAGTCCTACAGTGTTAACCCTCTTTCACAGTCTCTGCTATGACAGTCCTACAGTTTTAACCCTCTTTCACAGTCTCTGCTATGACAGTCCTACAGTTTTAACCCTCTTTCACAGTCTCTGCTATGACAGTCCTACAGTGTTAACCCTCTTTCACAGTCTCTGCTATGACAGTCCTACAGTGTTAACCCTCTTTCACAGTCTCTGCTATGACAGTCCTACAGTTTTAACCCTCTTTCACAGTCTCTGCTATGACAGACCTACAGTGTTAACCCTCTTTCACAGTCTCTGCTATGACAGTCCTACAGTTTTAACCCTCTTTCACAGTCTCTTCTATGATAGTCCTACAGTGTTAACCCTCTTTCACAGTCTCTGCTATGACAGTCCTACAGTGTTAACCCTCTTTCACAGTCTCTTCTATGACAGTCGTACAGTGTTAACCCTCTTTCACAATCTCTGCTATGACCGTCCTACAGTGTTAACCCTCTTTCACAATCTCTGCTATGACCGTCCTACAGTGCTAGGTTTCTTCCAGAGTCCCCCGTGTAGTATTTCTACAGTGCTGTGATATACCTCTTTCCTGCTATGACAGTTCTAGTTATGACACAGAGTCTTGTGTTGAATCTTTGATCATAACAGTTTTACTTAGGTCTCTTTCTGAATATCTGTCAAAATGGTTTTAGCAATAGTTTTGTAGTCTGTTTATTAGTTTTTTTGTTTTTTTCAACTGCTGTGGGGTAGCAGTTAGCTGCTCACCTACATATCTGTGTGTGTTAGAATCATATTTGTGTAAACAAATACCACTGAATGGGTGATGTAGTCAACAGTTCACCAGCCTTCTTTACTTCCCAGGACTTTTCTTTGTTTTCTTACATTCAGCATAAATACTTGTCTAAATTCAAAATTGAGAGATCAACTTCATCGCGCCAGGTAGTATTCCATATGGCTTGGTCTTTGTCTACAAAATGATTGGTCGCCGTTGAGAGCATCATACAGAGCATGGACTCTGTAGCTCCAGCAGAAACCCCCAGTGTTTAACATGTCTGACATTCACTGTATGGCTCTGTGGTTTCGAATTTAGTGAATATGTATCACAGTCATCAATGTACCGAGGTTTGCTTTTCGCGGCAGAAAGCTTAGAATTGACTATTCTTGTGGCTTTTAGGCAGTTGTAATTGTTTCACCGTGGAAGAGCTCGGGGCTCCATCATGCAATATTCTCAAAGACACAGCTGGTAGCCCACCTCCAGTGTGTCATCTTATGGCCATCATGCATACTTCTTCTTCTTCTTCTTCTTCTTCGTGTTCACCAGCTGTAAACTCTGGCGGAAGGTTCTGGTTGCTCATCCACTACTGTACTGCAGTCCTGCTCCAGAAGCTGAGTGTTGCGTGTGCATCAGTTTTACAGATCTCATTCTCTTGAATACACACTGTTGGTTCCTTGCCTCTCCGGCAGATGCACTCCGACTTCAAAGGAAGCTCCCCAATTAGTCGACTCTTACGACATGCTTTTGGGGAGGCAGTGGGTCTATTCTTGTTTTCCCCACAATGGGGCCCCGGAACCCACACGGGGGATCATGCATACATAATGAGGCACAGATATGGAACATTTAATTTTAAAAAAAAAATCCATTTAAAGAAAGGGATTACAATGTCATCAGCATATGTAAGTATTCTTGTAGTTTCTCCTGTAGTACACTCTTGTTTTAATTTCCTTATAATTTTCTCTAGGGCCAAGTTGAAAAGTGGGGACAGAGCATCACCTTGATTTGAACTAGATGTTATTTGAAAAGGGTCTGACTTTCTGCCTTTATATATTACTATATTACGAGTTTCTTCCATACATTGTTTGGTCATGCTAATTAACTTTTTTGGTATTCCAAAGTCCTTCATAGCATTCCATAAACTGTTTTCATGCACACTATCATACACCTTTTTAAAATGCACAAAAACATTATGTACATCTTTTCTATATTCCCAATTTTGCTGTTCTATTTGCCGTAAGAGATAAGATCAGGAATGAGATCATAAGAGAACAAGTCGGCACAGAACCAATTCTGGATTACATACAAAGACAGCAAGTGAAATGGTTTGCCCACTTAAAGAGAATATCACAATTATCTACAAGCTATAAGTGTGACACCATACCATACAAAGCATACATGGAAAGAGAAGAAGGACGTAGAGCACAGGGTAGACCAAGAACAACATGGAAGGATAACATCAGAGAAACTATACAACAGCACGATGTGCCTATGGTCGAGGCAGCCAGAAGAGCAAGAAACAGAACCTTATATCTCCCTCGACACCCACAGCGGTAAAAGAGGAAGTGAAGAAGAAGAAGAAGAAGAATTTGCATAAAATGAATATCTGATCTATTGTTGATCTGTTCTGTCGGTAACCCGCTTAATAACCTCCCAATATGCCTTTGACATATGGTTTTAGCCGGTTTAGCAGTACCGACGATAGTATCTTATAGCTTGTAGATAATCGTGATATTCCTCTATAATTTTCACACTTATACTTGTCTCCTTTCTTGAAAATGGGTATTATTAAAGACACTTTCCATTCATGGGGTAGTTTTTCTGTCTTCCAAATTAGTTTTTATTAATTCATATATCTTTACATGTAATGCATAACCACCTTATTTTAAAAGTTCAGCTGCAATTCCATCAGCACCAATTGCTTTATTATTTTTAATCCGTGTTATGACATACAGTACTTCTTCAAAATCAGGCTCTTCAGTATTTGGTTCACATGTTAATATCTCTTCCTGTGGATAGGTATTAAGTGGAGTTTCACAGTTGTTCACATGTTAATATCTCTTCCTGTGGATAGGTATTAAGTGGAGTTTTACAGTTGTTCACATGTTAATATCTCTTCCTGTGGATAGGTATTAAGTGGAGTTTCACAGCTTAACAATTCAGTGAAGTATTCCTTCCATCTGTTACATATTTGCTCATTATTTATCATTTTCCAATTGTGATTTTTTAAACTATAAATGCTTTGTTGATGTCCTCATTTTACAGTCTTTATTTCTTTGAAAAACTTTCTGGATTTGTTGTTCTGATGGTTAGCTTCCATATCCATGACAATGTAGTTCATGTATTCTCGCTTTTGGTGCCTAACTACTTTTGTAGCTTCTTTACATTCTATTTTTTTCTTAATTTTGTATGTTACTAGCACCATTTAGCCAGATCTGCCTGGCATGTTTTTTTCTTACTGACTGCTTCTTCACATTTTGTATCGAACCATTTGTTCTTTATGTTTATGGTGGACACACCAAGACATTCTTCTGCAGTGGTTTGAATTATATTCCTAATATCCATCCAGGTTTGGTCAACGTCTTCCTCTGACGCAATTTGTTAAATTTCAATTTTATGTTTTAACTCATCTGCAAATTTCTCTGATATGGATGTTTCTTGTAATCTTTGAGACTAAAGGATGACTGCAAAAAATAATGTATTTTTTTTTTTTTTTTAATTTTAATAAGAATACATTAAATGATAAGATGTAAAATATGCAATAATCAGTGACAACTACATAAAAATAATAATTTTTATAAGGAACCGATCTTATGATAAGAAATAACATATAATGAAAGAATAAGAGAAGACTACAAAAATTTACCTTTTATTTTAATAAGATCTTATGAAAAGAAATTACATATGAGAACAAGTGAAAACTACACTCACACACACGAAAAGTAATCTTTCTAAAATGAACAAATCTGAGGATATGAAATAACATATGGGAGGCTAAAGGCTACACAAAATAATCTTTCAATAAGAACAGATCTTACGAATAACATATGTTAGAGTAAGTGAAATCTACACACACACAAAATATTTAATTTTTTTAACTCTTTGAGTCCCAGGGGGTTTAGCTTCAGAGGCCCAAGGGATAGTCAAGAGAGACGTAAAATCGGCTCATCTTGCGTTCTTTGGGCTTCTAGGTGGGAACCTATGAGCGTATGACTTCTTGGGACTCAAAGAGTTAACAGATCTGAGGGTAAGAAATAACATATCAAGGGAGAATAAGCGAAAACTACAAAACACAATCTTTCTAATATTAACAGTTAATCTTTTGATCTAGTAATTAACACACACAAAAACAACAGCAAATCATGTGTGTATCAATGAATACAGGGCAACTATAACATGTTCTTGTACTCTCTCCGCAGCTGCTGACCTTTGATGTCAACAGTTTTACTGAAGCCAGCAATGTCTATGATCCAAAGATAGTGTTCAATGTGGATAGACCTCGACTTCCGCAGTCTGCTCTCTCACTGACAGTCGACTGTAGCCAGGTATATCTGCTTTTGTCAGATGATATAGTATATAATAGATATAGTATATTTTAGTTCTAAATTTTATTTCTGTTTAGATAAAGTATAATTATAGGCATACAAAAGCTATACCAAAATCAGCCTGTGATTGGCTGTGGGGAAAAACTTTGTTCGCCATAGCTATACCATTCATTGCTTGCATCATTCCATAGCCTTTTAGCTCACTGGACACCAACTTACAGTTGCATTTGTTAGTGGTTCACGAGTATAGTATATTTATAGATATGGTATATTTTTTGGGGTGCTGATTGATCCTGGTTTTTTTTTTTCTGTGTGGCATCTCTCATCAGATATGTTCTGCTGAATCATATTAAAATACAGCAAAGTACAAACATGTGTCCATGTAGCTAAAAGTACACAACACATTGCCATTGTTTCAGTTGAAGTCCTATCACAGAAGTTCTAACATTTTGCCCTGTACAAATTATTTAAAATTACCTTTTGTTTTTTAAATTGCATTAATAGAAACACATCTTTATAATTCTTTGAAACTCTCCACTAAGGAGCTAGAAATATCTTAATCAGGAAAAGTCTGTTCTTTTGTTCCCCTGTGAGCCACACTGGGATGTTGTAGGAATGATACTGCATGTTTTCCCTTCTGTTGATATTTTTTCCTTCTCTTCCAGAAACGAATGCGCCACAAAGAACCCCCAGTGGTCAAGCTATCCTTGGACTTTGGCAAGCTGACCTCCGAAGTGGACATCACCATCATTGACCGTTTGACCAACTTGATCAACCCTGATCTTAGCGGTGGCAGCGGAACCAGTGTTGGGACACAGTTGGTTGATGATGCTTATGGACACGTGAGTGAGGCGACCAGTGCAGTTGACAAATTTCCTGACAGGAACTGTTCCCACACCTGCAGGCAAATTGTTCCTTTAGTTCTAGACTTATATTTTATAGACCAGTTAAAATTCAGTGGGTGATGTGGACACCATCACGCCGGCCATCTTTACTTCCCAGGGTTTTACTTAGTACCCACTTAAGGCTTTGTCAACCTGGGAGCCAAGCCTAGTTTTAAAAAAAAAAGTCTGGCTCCGTTTGGATTCAAACCCACAGCCTTTGATTCCAAGGGGAGCCTCTAGCTGCTTCACTATGGCAGCTGCATTTCCTTAGAACCAAGCTAATGTGTTTATAAATAAAATACAGTACTGCATAAATCCTTAGAAATCCTTAGTTGGCATTTGTAGCTCAGGCATTGTGAACATGCTTTGTAATTCTGAAATGCCAGTTCAATCCCAGCTGTGGGTGATTTGGCAACAGACAGCCTTGCGTTGGTTTTGACAGTGGCAAAACTATCGAAACACAATTGTCAGCCATAACATGCTGGGGTTGGTTCTACAACATTCCGGAAAGCAGGGCTATTCATTTGGTGACCCACCAGCTAAGTCTGGCCAATGGAGACATATCAAGTGGCCTGCGGATCCTTTGCAGATCTGGCTTTTTTTTGTATGCAGACTGTTGGTTCCTTGCCTTGGAGGCAGATACACTCTGACTTTAAAGGAAACACCCATAATTAGCCTCCTCCTATGACATGCTTGTTGGGTCAGGCGGAGAATGGGTCTGTTCTTTGTTCTCTAGAATGGAGTCCCAGAACCCACACAGAAATGGGAATAACTGACCTATGAGGTCTTAATGAGGTCTGATCACCTTCTGCTAGGTTGATGAGGCTATGAAAGATGAGCAGTCGGGAACCAAGATCCACCCATCTGTACAAGTTAAAGCCACACATGCCACCCTTAGAGTCAGGTTAGTCTTGTTTGTATTCTGCTTTCTGTTCTTATTTGTCACTTGTTGTTTTTTGTCTTATTTGTCACTTGTTATTTGTCTTATTTGTCACTTGTTATTTGTCTTATTTCTCACTTGTTATTAGTCTTATTTGTCACTTGTTGTTTTTGTCTTATTTGTCACTTCTTGTTATTTGTCTTATTTGTCACTTGTTGTTATTTGTCTTATTTGTCACTTCTTGTTATTTGTCTTATTTGTCACTTTTTATTTGTCTTATTTGTCACTTTTTATTTGTCTTATTTGTCACTTGTTGTTATTTGGCTTATTTGTCACTTGTTGTTATTTGTCTTATTTGTCACTTCTTGTTATTTGTCTTATATGTCTTATTTGTCACTTTTTATTTGTCTTATTTGTCACTTGTTATTTGTCTTATTTGTCACTTGTTGTTATTTGTCTAATTTGCCACTTCTTGTTATTTGTCTTATTTCCCACTGCTTGTTATTTGTCTTAGTTCTCGCCTGTTGTTGTCTTATTTCTCACTTTTCAGAAGGATGAAGTGCTTTAGAGCAGGGTCATTCAACTAGGTTTACCCAGGGTTGCCCAAGTCCTGGCACATAAGATCATTAATACAATACAGTTGGCAGGTGATCCATGGACCACTTGCTAGACCTCTGCTGGCCATATTTAGCCCCCAGTTGAATAGCCCTGCTTTAGAAAGTACAATATCTGTCTCAGAGGTACAGTGTCATGTCTATCTCAGAGGTACAATGTCTGTCTCAGGGGTACTGTGTCTGTCTCAGAGGTACAGTGTCGTGTCTGTCTCAGAGGTACAGTGTCTGTCTCAGAGGTGCGGTGTCTGTCTCAGAGGTACAATGTCTGTCTCGGAAGTACAGTGTCTGTCTCAGAGGTGTAGTGTCTGTCTCAGAGGTGTAGTGTCTGTCTCAAAGGTACAGTGTCTGTCTCAAAGGTACAATGTCTGTCTCAGAGGTGCAGTGTCTGTCTCAGAGGTACAGTGTCTGTCTCATAGTTACAGTGTCTGTCTCAGAAGTACAGTGTCTGTTTCAGAGGTAAGGTGTCTGTTTCAGAGGTACTGTGTCTGTCTCAGGGTACAGTGTCTGTCTCAGAGGTACAGTGTCTGTCTCAGAGATACAGTGTCTGTCTCAGAGATACAGCATCTGTCTCCAAGTTGACAAATATTTGGTTTAATCCAGCTTTGGGAGATGTTTATAAATAAGGAACTGATAGAAATTCTACTCCTTGCTTTCCCTTGTTGTCTATCAACCTCATATTAGGTTAACCAGGTTAATTGCAGTCCCAGCTTCATACCACAGGGTTCGCCCCATCAGTGATTTATTCCTATGTCAATGAAAACCCACATACAATGTCTATCTGTCCCCTGTGTAAAAAAAAAATTTGACAGACTGCAGTCTTAGAAAATCTAACAGTATACACAGACATTAAATGCATAAGGCAGCCATTAGAAGTGCCACCGCAAACAGTCAGACACCAGAAATATCAACCTCAGATAAGAGCGACAAATAGAAGGATTTGTACGCGTGTTGCACACAATAAAAGTCCAGTAGCTGTTAGATAAAACTAAAATGTACTTAATGGTGACATATCAAAAGGTGGGAATGTATAAACAACAAAACACATATCCACAACAAAACACATATCCACAACAAAACACATATCCACAACAAAACACATATACATAACAAAACACATATCCACAACAAAACACATATCCACAACAAAACACATATCCACAACAAAACACATATCCACAACAAAACACATATACATAACAAAACACATATCCACAACAAAACATATCCCCAACAAAACACATATCCACAACAAAACACATATCCCCAACAAAACACATATCCCCAACAAAACACATATCCACAACAAAACACATATCCCCAACACATATCCACAACAAAACACATATCCACAACAAAACATATCCCCAACAAAACACATATCCCCAACACATATCCACAACAAAACACATATCCACAACAAAACACATATCCACAACAAAACATATCCACAACAAAACACATATCCCCAACACATATCCACAACAAAACACATATCCACAACAAAACATATCCCCAACAAAACACATATCCACAACAAAACACATATCCCCAACAAAACACATATCCCCAACAAAACACATATCCCCAACAAAACACATATCCCCAACACATATCCACAACAAAACACATATCCACAACAAAACAATTTTCACAGCAGAACACATATCCCCAACAAAACACATATCCCCAACAAAACACATATCCCCAACAAAACACATATCCCCAACAAAACACATATCCCCAACAAAACACATATCCCCAACAAAACAACATATCCACAACAAAACAATTTTCCACAACAAAACACATATCCCCAACAAAACACATATCCCCAACAAAACACATATCCCCAACAAAACACATATCCCCAACAAAACACATATCCACAACAAAACACATATCCACAACAAAACAATTTTCACAGCAGAACACATATCCCCAACAAAACACATATCCCCAACAAAACACATATCCCCAACAAAACACATATCCACAACAAAACACATATCCACAACAAAACAATTTTCACAGCAGAACACATATCCCCAACAAAACACATATCCACAACAAAACACATATCCCCAACAAAACACATATCCCCAACAAAACACATATCCCCAACAAAACAATTTTCTTAGCAGAACACATATACTGTTTGTGAATTACAATAAGTGTGTATTGGGACTAGCTGCAGAAGCACAGTGGCTATTATAGTTGCCCACCCATTGTCCTGTGGCTGCATGCAACTCTGTCATTCCCCTACAGTGTGTGAATTCTGAATGCCAGCCATAGTGTTTTGTGTTCACCTCCCATTTTACTATTGGTCAGGGTTATACTAAAGAAATGGAGCTTAGACTATTGATTGGCTACTTCTGCTGCATAATTAGCCTGTTGGTGGTTATGCATTCGTGACTTGTCACACCGGTCATGGATTCCTGTGAGCGTTTGCAGTGAGATGGCTGGGATCGAAAGAGTTAACAGTCCCTTTGGAGTAGTGATTTTTGAAAAGTTGACCTGGGCTTTAGATTCTCTGTAGCCAAAATAGATCTTCTGCTTCTTCTTCTCTTGGACCATTTACCTCAGAGTAGTGTTGGGGGGGAGATATGGGGGTTTGTTTATGTGCTTTTTCCATGCTTTGTACAAGTTGGTGTTCATTTCTGTTAGGTTGCTCCTGATGGCGTCACTCCATAACTTGCCTGGTCTTCCCCTTGCTCTGTGTTCATTATATTTCTTCCGCGTAGCTGTCTGTGGCAGTTGATGCCAGGGCATTAAACAAAATCTCAGAAAAGGAACACATTAGCGACACACAATGTTTGCAAAATAGATACCAGGAAATATTTAAGGAAGTGAGGGAAACCAACTGTTGAGCCTAGACAAATATGAAAAACAGTGCTTAAAACTACTTGGACATTCAAATTGACTGAGACAACAGATCACGTCCTGCAAGACTGTCCCAAGTACAACATACCAAGGCAAAACTTTTCTCCAAGAGAAACACCGGTGCAAGCTAAACTTTACGGGTCACTGAGTGAATTACAACAGACAGTGAAGTTCGTACTAGAGACAACATTGCGGATATAGAACATTTTTTTCAAGTGAATGAAAGAAGAAGAAGTCAAATTGAGTACTGTATTTTACCATTCAGAACATGATGTGTTTTCCCAGTTTTATTCAATTTAAAAGTGAGCTTGCCAGATTGGCTGGATCTTCTATGTGAACAGTAGAGGCACCTGGAAGCCAATCAGAAACCTCATGAAAATAGTTGGTTGCCCACAATATGCCCATCAAATGTATTCTTAACCTCCGAGACCTGTTGCTACCATTGGGCCCACAGGACTGCACACTTACGCTTGAATATTTAACAGTTTTCAGTTCACCTCCAGGGTCTTAACGCTGCGTTTGATGAAGAATGTTGACGATTTTTAACACCCACATGTGATTTGTTTAGTGGAAATTTACTAGGGATTTTGTAATTGTACAGGGAATGTGTCTAAAATATTTTGTTCTTAATTTTGGGCAAAAAATAGAGGTCATCTTATACTTGGCGTTGTCTTATATATGGAAAACAAAATATGGTAATCTAAATGTTTTCAGAGAGGCTAAGACACAGATAACTTATCGGAAACATCAAAACGAGACATTCCTTATGTTTGTCATAAAATCAGAAGAAAAAAACTAAAATATATGACAGCTGAACGATTGTATGAAATGAGAGGTTGAGGAAAACAGCTAAAGAAGATTCTTGACAACCTTTTGTTATGGCATAGAGGTGTGTCAGCACAGAAGTTGGTGCATGCTGTTAGAGATTTTGACTCGGGATCATTCCTGCCAGTTTATATGGCACTTGATGATGGTTGTTGAAGTTGAGAGGTTCGACTTCATTGTACTAGGCTTTACCCCATGTGGCTCAGTCTTTCTCCACAGAGAGCATCACATAAAACCTGTACTCCATAGCTCCAGTGATGATCTCAAGAGATCTTTGTAAAAACTGCGCCCCATAAACTGAATGCCGCATTCATGAAATGAGCCTTCAGAGTGTGAGGCAGATAACTTGCCCATGGACACTCTCTAGATCAGGGCTATTCAACTAAGTTTATCCAAGGGCCAAAATTTTGAAAACGCAGATCATAACGGGCCAGATGCCTGAGCCCAAGCATAGAAAAAAATGTATATAAAACAACTGGCAATGATCAGCGGGCCACTTGCTAGGTCTCCGCGGGCCAGATTTGGCCCACGGGCCGCCATTTAAATAGCCTTGCTCTAGATGATGATGGCATGAGTGTTCTTGTTTACAGATTCCCCATTCCAGACCTGCGGGAGGATCCGCCGGCCCAGGCCCGGGAGTGGTGGCGCCGCCACCTTCACAAGGAGATTCTGGTACTAGAGATGGAAGCACCCGAGGCCATGACCAATATTAGACCAGACGAGCCCTTACAGCTGGCCCTCCAGGTGTTCAAGATTAGTGGTGGGTCACTGGGGATGGGGATCTTTCATGTCTTTAGTCTTCTCTCAGCAGTTAGTGGTGGGTCACTGGGGATGGGGGTCTTTCATGTCTTTAGTCTTCTCTCAGCAGTTAGTGGTGGGTCACTGGGGATGGGGGTCTTTCAAGTCTTTAGTCTTCTGTCAGAGTTAGTGGTGGGTCACTGGGGATGGGGGTCTTTCAAGTCTTTAGTCTTCTGTCAGCAGTTAGTGGTGGGTCACTGGGGATGGGGGTCTTTCAAGTCTTTAGTCTTCTGTCAGCAGTTTTCTGTGTTTGTGACAGAGAGACAGAGAGAGAGACAAAGAGAGAGCGAGACACAGAGAGAGAGAGATAAGAGAGAGACACAGAGAGGGTGTGAGAGAGAGACAGAGAGAGGAGAGAGAGAGAGAATCTGTGTGTGTATGAGTGAGAGACAGAGAGGGAGGAGAGAAAGAGAGAGAGTGGGAGAGAGAGAGAGAGAATCTGTGTGTGTATGAGTGAGAGAAAGAGAGAGAGAACATATAAAAGAAGAAAGGGCCTCTTTACATGCCACTGGTGTATGGATGATGTGGTCAACATCTCACTGAACATCTTTACTTCCAAAGACTTCACCAGCTACCCTAGTGCTCTTGTCTGGCCACACATATTTTAACATGTTGTCCTTGCAGTCTGTTTATCGTTGCAGATTCTATGTGTAATGGTCTCACAGGATATCACAGCAGTCTTAACCCTTTTGCACAGATAACCCTTTAAAGAAACCCATGCACTTTGACATTTTACACACAAAATAAATCCTACAGAAGGATCACAACTAAATGTAATAAAAACAAAAAAAATTATATTTACATACGTTTGTTTTCCTAAAGCATATAAAACGGAAAAGTCAATAAACATAAACAGAGCAGAGAATTAAACTACTTTGTTCCCTTGAGTAAAAAAAAAAAAAATGGTGATTCATACAATTCTTTACTATAAAGAGCCAGTTTGAACAACGGCTGTGAGCCCTGGACAATTAGTAAACAAGCTGTAGAATATCTTGAGGCCTCGGAGATGTGGTTTTACAGAAGAATCCTTAAAATTCCTTGAATAGCTTCTTATTGCAACCAAGTGCTCAAAAAAAAATAAATATCAGTAAGAGGCAGTCATTGTGTTTGTTATCATGTTATGAGAATTGGGAACCTGGAGCATGCTATGACCACTGGAAAGATCAGTGGAAAGAGACAGCATAAGAAGTTTCTTGACAGCCTTTTGTCGTGGCATAGAAGGGTGTGAGAACATGACCTGATACACATAGTTGCAGATTATGGAGAGGGATGATCGCCCATTAACGAGGCATTTTGAGGATTAGCCAAAGGAGCAATTCTGGTTTAGTGGCTTCTGAGGGACGAGCAGCGGATGGCAATGCAGGATGAGATGCTTTACATGACCAAAGCATTGAGGGTGTGACCATTTTTTTTCTGTCTGCCAGGGTGTCTTATCCTACACTTACTTTAATTCTCGTAAAATATAATATGCTAAACCCCAAGAGATACAAATGATATTTCTTTATTTTGTGTCTTTTTCCAGCCTATTTACAGGAAGACATCAACACAAACCCTGTTCTTTTTGGGGAGGTCAAAGTTGAGGATCCAAAGGCAACGCCTTATGATGGACACCACTTTAATTGGCCTCGGTAAAAAACTTTCTTTTAATTGTAAGCCAAAGTTGCGTCTAACTAGATGAAAAATTATCACCATGTGACAGAGATTCTTTGCAGAATGTTTTACCTGTAGCAGTTAGCACATCTCAGTTTAGAAAAATATTCTTCAGTTTAGTATTTCTCAGTCTAGAAATATTCTGTCACTTTTGTAACTTTTACATTAGTGCCGTTAACATTCTTCTTCTTCTTCAGCATTCCGAACCCTTGAGGTTCGTCACTGCAGATATCACCTGCCTTCACTCACCTCTCTGGTTGGCCTTCTCTTTCCAGTCAGTGACACCAAGTGTTTGTTGGTCTGTTTGGATGTTATCTCTTCAGTGTCTTCTTGGTCTGCCTCGTCATCTATGACCATTCAGCTCTCTTGTGTAAACAGTTTTTACCTCTCTGTTATCTGACATTCTTTCAATATCCCCACCCCCCCCCCCCCCCCCCCCCCCCCACCCCTGCCATTTCAGTCTGTTAGCCGTTATGATACCAGTGATCATGGTTTTTTAAACAGATTATGGATTTTTTTTTCCAATTCCTTCCTGATTTTACTTCTTTTGACCACTAAATTAGTCCTTGTCAGGCATCTCGTTTCTATGGTTACTCATGTTCTTTTTCTGGTTTTTGTGTGTGTGAGTGACCATGTCTGGCACTGGTAACATAGAGTGGGAATAAATATGCTTTGTGTGAGATGTTTCTTTGTGTTGTTTAAGAACATCCCAATACTTAGTTTTCTTCACTGAATCAGATATTAATTTGTTCATCCATTTTGCCATGTTCTGTGAATGTCAAGAGCCAGAAAAAAGTAATACTGTTGTGTTCTTTTAGGTTTGTTGTTTGCTGGAGCAATAAATCCAACTCTGTCCTTGAAGCTGGCGAAGCTGGGGAGTCGGACAATTCAGCTCACAGCATTGACAGCTACTTGGACTCTAGCCTGCTGAAGAAGGAGTCAGGACCCTTCAGCCAGAAGAAGAGCATGTACGCCAGGGATGATTTGTCCTTCAGTGAGCAGCAGACGGCACCAGTCAATGATGAGGTCAGTGCTGCTTGTCGTGTTAGGCTTGCTGTTTTAATTTCCTGTCCTTTTGTTGCTGTTTTGTCATTCTTAGTAAGAATGATCAAGAGGGGGGCAGGCAGGGGAGATGAGCACTAACAGTTATTGCAATGGTGGATATTTTCACCCAGTTTAGGATGGTTGGGGGGAAGGCCCAAAGCTGACCTAAAACACCGGATTTAACGAGAATCTGGAGATAGGTGAAAACCACTAGTTATCACGGGGACCACGATGATGCGACCCAAGGTCGCCACGTGAAAAGTAAAGGACCACCACGTGTTGTCACGTGAAACGAACCCGTGGTATAAGTCAGACTTGACTCTGGTCAAGTTTAGTTTGTGTCGACCTGTTGGAGTGAGAGGACGTGCGACTGAAAGTGAGAATGCCAACGTGAGAGTGCTTGTGGAGAAAGGAGACCCTGCCGACGAAGTGTGAAGCCGAGATCGACAATGCCAGTCTGTGAGATGGCCAGAACCTCAACGTGAATCCATGGGAGCCAACTTTGGTCAGTGAATGCTTGAAGAAGACTGTTCGTTGAAGGCTGCGTGAGTTTGGGTACGAGAGCTGTTTGCTAGGACACCGACAGGACATTCTTGTATGTAAGTGTAAATACGTCAATAAACTCATGTCTCGTAAGCTCACATCGGTGTCGGCTTGTGCCAGTTGTGTAACGTGGAGCGTGTGAGAAGATCATCCACCACACACGCATGAACACTACCTAGACAATGAGAAGAAACACACACCACTTATTACAGTTATGCAAGAAAGGAACGTAAAGTGTCAATTTATTTTTGTGATTGAAGCAAAATTACTAACAACAGAAAATATCTGTGTCACCGGGTGGAGGAGGAGAGTGACACAAGAGAACAAGGCAAATGTAGACACTTAAGGTTAGAAAAGGAAAGACTAAAACAGTACTGTAAAACATCCCAAAATCCTAGTATAGAACAAGAAACACTAAACAATATTATAAAGTGCCTTTTCATTCAAAATAATAGAAGAAGGACTTAACAGTATTGTAAAGTAACTTTTTTTTTCGATCCCACGTAGAAAAGGAAACACTAAGCAATATAGTAAAATATCTTTTTTTTTTTTCCCCCACATAGAAAAGGAAACACTAAGCAATATAGTAAAATATCTTTTTTTCTAAGCAATATAGTAAAATATCTTCTCTCCCCCCCCCCCCCCCCCCCACCCCCACCACATAGAAAAGGAAACACTAAGCAATATAGTAAAATATTTTTTTTTTCCACATAGAAAATGAAACACTAAGCAATATTGTCAAGTATATATTATCGCACAAAGAAATGCCTTTTCACTCTACTGCTATATTCAGGTTCTACTTCTTTCTTCCTATTGACATAACTTCTGTCTTTTCAGTGTTGATTCTCATATAATTTGTTTTACATTCTTCATGCAAGAATCTATGGCAAAGCACAAGTAAATTGGTTAAAGTGGCTGTATCTGCAGTCAAGGCCTGGTCATCAGTAAATAATAATTTGTTGATGTTACTATTATTTTAATTCCTTGGCTTGACATATTTGCTTATACTGTCAATGCAGGTGATAAACAAGAGTAATGATAAGACACATGCCCTCTCAAGATAAAACACTGAACAATATTGTAAAGTACCTTTCCATCCCAGAGAGAAGAAGAAACCCTAAACATCAGAGCACCCTTTCAAGCTGTGAATCTGCAACCATGACGAGATTGTAAGAACAACATGTTAAAAGGGATGTGGCAAGACAAGAGTGCTGTGCAGGAAGCCGAAGAAGAATAAAAAAATCAACACAGAACTGGTGTCATGAGCCTCACCACGCTGCAGAATCCAAGCACCTATAGATTTAATGGTTCATGAGGATAATCTGTTGACTAATTAATTAATTTACTTAACACACTGCAGAATATCTTGGGTAGACAAAGACTAAACAATACTGCAAAACTTGCAGACTCCCAGACAGAAGATAAGACACTAAACATTATTGTAAAGTACCTTGTCATCCCAGACAGAAAAAGAAACACTAAACACTAGGGTACCTCTTCATCTTGGGCTAAGAGAGGAAAGTTTGTAAACATCATCATCATCATGTAGCAGGTCCTTTGCAGAACGTCGCTCTCATCACAGTCTGCCTGAAAAAAACTCGGTCTCTCACCAGTTCTCCCGCCTCATGAACTTTCACACTCAAGGAGTCACTTATATCCTGTGCCCATCTTCGTGTCGGTCGGCCCCTGCCCCTCCTTCCTGGTACCATGCCTTGTGCTATAATTTTTTTCCAATCCGTCGTGGCGCTTGATATGACCAAAATATTTCAGCTTTCGAGCAAGGATGCTGTTTATTAGCCAGTCTTCCTTGATGTTCAGATCTTTTAAGATGTCAGTATTTCTCATCTTCTTTGTCCAAGATATTCTGAGAATCTTTCTATGGCATTTCAGCTTAAAAGCCCCTATTCTCTTTCTTAAGGACTGAGAGATAGTCCACGACTCACATCCGTATGTAATCAGATTGTAAACAGATTGTTTAATTTAAATTCTTGTTCTCTAAATTCTTCAGATGGTTATGCCAGGGAATGCCCGTGAGCTGAAACATTTCCGTGAGGAGTGTATGGGTCGAACCTCCATGTCCATCGAAGTGACGGCTCCTTGTGTTCTGGCCTACATGCACAGTCGAGAGTTCCTGGAATTGCTCTATAACAGGTTCGAAGAGTTCCATCCTAGTGTTTGTTTACCCTGTTTGTTTTTTTTTTTTTTTTTTTATTGTTAACTGTTGCATCTGATTAGTTATCCGATAGTACTGGCTATATGGTCATGTGAAAAACATATTTTCATCTTTATTCCTTTCCTTCTCCTCTTATGTGTGTTCCTCTTCCACTTCCTCTTCTACTTTTTTCTTCTGTTCCTCCTTTGCCATCTTCTATTCTATCTTATGCTTCTGTCTGTTTTCCCCTTTGACTCTTCCTCCTCCTCTTCTACCTCCTCCTCACCTTATTTTTCTTATTCTTCTCCTTCTTCCTCTCCCATTTTCTTCTTCTGCTGTTCAATCTTTCTGCTTTATCACTGCTGCTTTATCACAGCTGCTTTATCACAGCTGCTTTATCACTGCTGCTTTATCACTGCTGCTTTATCACAGCTGCTTTATCACTGCTGCTTTATCACTGCTGCTACAGCTGCTGCTACTTGTTTCTTCTCTACCATGGCTGCTGTCACTCACCTCCTTCAGGAACACTATCATCATTTTTCTTCTTTCATTCAGAGTTGATCACACATAGTTGTCTGCAAGGAGCGGTGGAACAGTTTTTGTGTGAAGAAGTCAAGTCATGCACCTAGAAATTAGTGTAATTATTTATCAGTTAATCAGTTACGAATTAATCAGTTAATCAGTTACGAATTAATCAGTTAATCAGTTACGAATTAATCAGTTAATCAGTGAATTGATTAATAGATCCATTTATTGTTAGTTTTCAGTTGATTGGCTAAAGGAAGTTCTGACTTCTCTGCAAATAGTTCACTCCATAGTTCCTGCATTCCTGTGCTCTTTGCGTCCCTTGTGAAAAATAATGCCTTGATTGTAGAACTACTCATGTGCTCATATCTAGTTCAGCTGGATCTGCACCACTGCGTGGTGAATTGATACTGACAAGGCAGATGTGGTCAAGGCCCCTTTGGGATCAAGCAACGAAATCAGAGATAGAAGATTATTATAGCCTGGAGAGAATGAGACCCCTGGGTGTAACCAGAGGGTCTGGTCGGCTTACTGCACTCAGAGGAAAGTCAAGACGAACATATAACCAGATTGTGACCGGTACCATCAGTATTAGAACTCTGCGCTGGCTGCTGAAGATGAGGAGGGAGCATGCATGGAAATGCCCCAAGTGCTGTGATGGTAATTCTTGACTCAACTCAACTCATATCTAGTTTAATTAACAAAAATTATGTTTCAAAATGGAGTCTTGATGTGAGAATGGATGGCTGCTTTTTGAATGAAGAGGAAAACTTGAAATGTACTCTTCTGACACTCAACGAAAGTCACTTGTAAGATAATTCTCCTTTTCTGAAACATTTCTTTATGTGCCTGTAGAACCTAATTATTTCTTGTTGATCTCCCACTACAAACTGGCAAGTCGTAAACAGATGAGTTTGTCTACAGGTTCAACAATGACCTTCTGATGTGGGAACCAAGACCGCCAAGGTCCCGTTCTTATCTCAGCAGTCTCATTCCCTCCAGCACGGACCTCAACGTCATGCATATGTTCCGACATCGCTATGGTGACTTCCCATCTACTGTGGGTAAGTTTGGATGTACATTTTGGATGTAAATATTCATTCCTTGTCCTGTGGGCCTTTAAATGTCACAGGGCTCTGTGTCAGAGTTGATTGAAAATACCTGAGACAGAAGGTTGTGAATAGACATGACTGCCAGCACCACATGACTGGACTTTAAGAAGAAGAAGGGCTTGCTCTCTATTTCTCTATTTCGTTCTGTCCTGTGCAGTCACTTGAATATCATGGATGGAATTCAGTCCAGCAGCTTTGGCTTCTTTCATCAACCTTCACCTTAGGGTTTCTTTTGGACGTCCACATTTCGTCAGTTCTTCTATTTCCCATTTTAATGCCTGTCTGGTGATTCTCTGTTTCTCTCTACTCTGGATATGTCCTATATAATGCTGTCTTCTTTTATTCGTTCATTCCTTGGCACCTTTCCGTCTTTCCAGACGATAGTGTTATTTTGCGCTGTGAGGAGGCATGAGACTCACAGCCCATGGCGAGTGTGACTAGCAAGACCCGCCCGTGTCAAGAAAAGTCTTCCACAATGATAGCATGGGATTTCAGGACCATTGAAAACAACATTTGTGTTTAATCCGTTTTTTTTTTCAGAGGCTCAGCACTCATCCTTTCTGCAATCATTTCTTCCTTCAGTCTCATTCCCTTCCTGAAATGCCCTTTCCACACAACACGGTCCATGGCATTTTGTTCCCATGAGTCCGCCTCAATTCCTGTATCATTCATGTTCCGCTCCAGGGATGAAGTTTTTCCTCTCTATAGCACAAAGCCAGGGCAGTATTGTAGAGACTATAAGTTGCCCATGCATAATGATCCCTCCCTCGATCTGCCTTGTTTACTCCAAAGGAAAGATAAAACCAGTACGTTTAGAACGAGGCAGGTTGCAGAAGCTGGCGAATCAGAAGAGCAGAGCTCTATCTGTCTGCCTGCCAGAGCTTCCCTCCTAGACCAGCTGTCTTCTTTTATAAAGCTCTTGATGTTACAGTGCAAATAAAGTTGACGGGAAAATCAGTAAATAAATATCTGATGAAAAATCTTTCTTATAGGAACACTTTCAGTGTGCTTGTACATGTGTCTGGATTTAGTCGGGGCTAACAAATGTAAATTTTAAATGGGACATTAAGGGGCATTTCGTTTGATTATAACTGGCACAGGCTGCAGTAATTATTGGGTGACCTGTTTACTGTGACATTGACATCTTGACTGCCGACCCACAGTTTCAGTGAAAATTTTGAAAATCTGTCAACAGAAGATGCCCTTACTAGCACAGGACTGCATGTGACACCTGGCTGGTGGAGCCGTTTGATGTGCCCTAATTATAACTTCTTGGAAACTCAGCAAGACTAGAAGAATGCAACTCCCTCCGAGACCAGACAAGTGGAACACCTTGTACGGAGGAAAAGAACAGCTTGTGAAAACATGTAAATTCCACTACATGGCATTGGGCCAAAGGGCAAAAGCTCATGTGTCACTGGATCGATAACAACAATAACAGCAACAACTTCTTGGAGGTTGAACAGGGTATCTAGGATCTGTCTTTTTGGTCTGTCGTTCAGATTGAGATTTTAAAATCTCAGCATGTTGTGGTAAACCTGTAGGTGGGAGCCCGGAGGGGACAAACTGGTCGATCGATTGAACCTACAAAAAAGAGAGCTGTTTTGAATCTGCTCTAACACAGGGTTATTGATCTTTCGATCTCAGCTTCAGGTGACCCGACCTAAAATAAACTGAAGGATCTTTTTTTTTTAAATGTCAGTGGCGCATTGGGCACATGAGAAAATCAGAGGTAAAGGATCCTTTTCCATGCCTTGAGGCATATTGGGCTAGACTTATATTTTATAGACCAGTTGGCACTCGGAGGGGGGATGTAGTCAGCATTACATCGGCCGTCTTTACTAGTCAGGGGTTTACCTGGCAACCATTTAAAGCTGGGTCCACTTCGGAGGCAAGGTCAGTTTTTGGCACCCCAAAAAAAACTTTCTTAAGTCTTCCAAAAACTGAGGCTTCTGATGTTGATGATTCTTGTTTGTACTCTGTTTCCGAAACTGAGGCCTCTGATGATGTTGATGATTCTTGTTTGTACTCTGTTTCAGAAACTGAGGCCTCTGATGATGTTGATGATTCTTGTTTGTACTCTGTTTCAGAAACTGAGGTCTCTGATGATGTTGATGATTCTTGTTTGTACTCTGTTTCAGAAACTGAGGTCTCTGATGATGTTGATGATTCTTGTTTGTACTCTGTTTCCGAAACTGAGGCCTCTGATGATGTTGATGATTCTTGTTTGTACTCTGTTTCAGAAACTGAGGCCTCTGATGATGTTGATGATTCTTGTTTGTACTCTGTTTCAGAAACTGAGGTCTCTGATGATGTTGATGATTCTTGTTTGTACTCTGTTTCAGAAACTGAGGTCTCTGATGATGTTTATGATTCTTGTTTGTACTCTGTTTCAGAAACTGAGGCCTCTGATGTTGATGATTCTTTTTTGTACTCTGTTTCAGAAACTGAGGCCTCTGATTCTGATGATGATGAATCTATGCTGTATTCTGTCCATGAGCAACATGGCAGCCCAGCAGACGGCAAGCAGACATCCCCAAAACTTCTCAACAAGATGTGCTTCAGTTTGAGCATTGGCAGAGGAAAGCTCTTGGCCGTGATTCCTCATGTGGTAAATTTCACTGGCTCCCCATTCTGTCCCCCTCCTCTCCCTCAATTTGTCTTATCTTTGAGGACATTTTAATCAACAGTCTGATGTCTGACGCATGCAAGTCATTAAAAAAAATGTATTATGCTTTCGTCCCTACAAGAGCAGTTGGTATGTTTTTTTTGTAGTTTACAGCTAGGTTGCAGTATATTTGTCTGCCAGCCTGACACTTCTGATTTCAGCAAACTACAGAAATTTGATATAGTATGCCAGAAGGCATAAACATCACAGCCCCGCTATCATGAGGAAGAAAAATACGAAGTGGTTCATGATACTACAATCTTGGTTCAGGATTCTACAATGGTGGTTCATGATACTACAATGGGGGTTCATGATACTACAATGGTGGTTCATGATACTACAATGGGGGTTCATAATACTACAGTGGTGGTTCAGGATTCTACAATGGTGGTTCATGATACTACAATGGGGGTTCATGATACTACAATGGGGGTTCATGATACTACAATGGTGGTTCATGATACTACAATGGTGGTTCATGATACTACAGTGGCGGTTCATGATACTACAATGGCAGTTCATGATACTACAGTGGTGGTTCATGATACTACAGTGGTGGTTCATGATACTACAATGCTGGTTCAGGATACTACAGTGGTGATTCATGATACTACAATGGTGGTTCATGATACTACAATGGTGGTTCATGATACTACAATGATGGTTCATGATACTACAATGGTGGTTCATGATACTGCAATGGTGCGTCATGATACTACAATGGTGGTTCATGATACTACAATCTGGGTCATAACGCAGAACATTTAGAGAAAGAGGTTCATCAGAGAGTCACTTTTTTCTTCTTCTTTGGAATAGTCCAGAAAGGCAGTGCAGTAGGGAGGTGCACTGGTCATGCCAGCTCATCATCATCATCATTAATCAGGGGGTCCTTTACAGAACTTCTCTCTCATCACGGCATGCTTGACAGTCTCTATTTCTCTAGCTGATCTCCATCTCTGTGTCAGAAGAATATATATTCATCGACCAAGAAAGAAATGGGTGAAGGGAGTAAAAGAGAGATTACAGAAAGGCAGTATGAAATTAAAACAAGCTAGAGCTTGTAGCAAAAGACAGGAAACTACATCTAACTGTATATAAGTAGAAGGAAACTGGATAACGTTGGGATCACTGCAAAGATCTTTGGAGAGACACAGGAAGACAGCATGAGAAGATTCTTGACAAAGTTTTGTCATGGCATGAAGGGGGTCAACACATGAATTGATACACGCAGTTGCAGATTGTGGAGAGGCATAATAGACCACTCCAAACGGCAAGGCACTTGATGATGATGTGCTTTCATCGTCATTGCCCCTGTCCTCGCCAAAGTCCAAACGGATGAAGAACAAGGACTGGCTTACAGCCAGTAAACAAAGAAGAAGAACAATGGACAATGAAGAACTAAGAACAATGGATAATAAAGAACTAAGAACAATGGACAATGAAGAACTAAGGACTAAGAACAATGTACAATAAAGAACTAAGAACAATGGACAATGAAGAAAAAAAGAACAATGGACAATAAAGAACTAAGAACAATGGACACTGAAGAACTAAGAACAATGGACAATAAAGAACTAAAACAGTGGACAATAAAGAACTAAGAACAATGGACAATGAAGAACTAAGAACAATGGACAATAAAGAACTAAAACAGTGGACAATAAAGAACTAAGAACAATGGACAATGAAGAACTAAGAACAATGGACAATAAAGAACTAAAACAGTGGACAATAAAGAACTAAGAACAATGGACACTGAAGAACTAAGAACAATGGACAATAAAGAACTAAAACAGTGGACAATAAAGAACTAAGAACAATGGACACTGAAGAACTAAGAACAATGGACAATAAAGAACTAAAACAGTGGACAATAAAGAACTAAGAACAATGGACAATGAAGAACTAAGAACAATGGACAATAAAGAACTAAAACAGTGGACAATAAAGAACTAAGAACAATAGACAATAAAGAACTAAGAACAAAGGACACTGAAGAACTAAGAACAATGGACACTGAAGAACTAAGAACAATGGGCACTGAAGAACTAAGAACAATGGGCACTGAAGAACTAAGAACAATGGGCACTGAAGAAATAACAACAATAGTAGACACAGTACCAGTAACTGATTTCATAGAACATCAAAGAATCAAATGGTTTGGTCATCTGGTCAGGATGGAACAAAATCAGCCAGCAGCTAGAACATACTACATGAGAACAGCAGGCTACAAGGCAAGAGGCTGACCAAAGAAGAGATGGGTAGAGGGAGTAAAAGAGACACTAAAGACAGACAGTATGACATTAACAACAAGCTACGCAATTACTAAAAGACAGGAAAACAATCTTAACTGTCTCTGTAGGTCTTTAGGGAATAGGCAGCATGGCAAAAGAAAAAGATAAAAATGACAGATTTTAAACCTAGAAGAAGATAACAATGAAAGATGTTAAACCTAGAAGAAGATAACAATGACAGATGTTAAATCAAGAAGAAGATAACAATGACAGATGTTAAACCTAGAAGAAGATAACAATGACCGATGTTAAACCTAGAAGAAGATAACAATGACAGATGTTAAACCTAGAAGAAGATAACTACGACAGATGTTAAACCTAGAAGAAGATAACAATGACAGATGTTAAATCTAGAAGAAGATAACAATGACAGATGTTAAATCTAGAAGAAGATAACAATGACAGATGTTAAATCTAGAAGAAGATAACAATGGCAGATGTTAAATCTAGAAGAAGAGAACAATGAAAGATTTTAAACCTAGAAGAAGATAACAAATACAGAGTTAAACCTAGAAGAAGATAACAATGACAGATGTTAAATCTAGAAGAAGATAACAATGACAGATGTTAAATCTAGAAGAAGATAACAATGACAGATGTTAAACTTAGAAGAAGATAACAATGACAGATGTTAAACCTAGAAGAAGATAACAATGACCGATGTTAAATTTAGAAGAAGATAACAATGACAGATGTTAAACCTAGAAGAAGATAACAATGACAGATGTTAAACCTAGAAGAAGATAACAATGACAGTTGTTAAATCTAGAAGAAGATAACAATGACAGATGTTAAACCTAGAAGAAGATAACAATGACAGATGTTAAACCTAGAAGAAGATAACAATGACAGATGTTAAACCTAGAAGAAGATAACATTGACAGATGTTAAACCTAAAAGAAGATAACAATGACAGATGTTAAACCTAGAAGAAGATAACAATGACAGATGTTAAACCTAGAAGAAGATAACAATGACAGATGCTAAACCTAGAAGAAGATAACAATGTCAGATGCTAAACCTAGAAGAAGATAACAATGACAGATGTTAAACCAAGAAAAGATAATAATGACAGATGTTAAACCTAAAAGAAGATAATAATGACAGATGTTAAACCTAGAAGAAGATAACAATGACAGATGTTAAATCTAGAAGAAGATAACAACGACAGATGTTAAATCTAGAAGAAGATAACAATGACAGATGTTAAACTTAGAAGAAGATAACAATGACAGATGTTAAACCTAGAAGAAGATAACAATGACCGATGTTAAATTTAGAAGAAGATAACAATGACAGATGTTAAACCTAGAAGAAGATAACGACGACAGATGTTAAATATAGAAGAAGATAACAATGACAGATGTTAAACCTAGAAGAAGATAACAATGATAGATGTTAAACCTAGAAGAAGATAACAACGACAGATGTTAAATCTAGAAGAAGATAACAGTTGACAAATGTTAAACCTAGAAGAGGGACTGAGCCTCGAGAGGCAGGGGGTAAGAAGTGTTGGTGTTGTGGGTAGTGGGTTTCCCCCCTTACTTCACCCTAGGTCTAGTGAATATCTGTTCACGAAAGGAGCGTCCATTGTGGTGTCAGCCTCTTGACCTAGCAAAACCTCTCTTACCTCAAGACCATTGTGCGTGGCGAAGAGTCACAGCCTCCCTAGGTAGTCCCGGTAACTGGGGGTGCGAATCCCCAGGCAAAACACAATGGATCTAGAGGAGCAAACCTCGATAATAAACCCGGTGCACCACACCGTACTGCCCCCTGTGGGAGGGAAGGAGCCAGAGGTGTAAAGTCTAGGAATGGAAAAGTATGCTAACCCCCCTGAATACCGGAAACTATCGTGAAGGCACAGGGACTCAGGACGTGACGATCCAGTTGCCCCAACTACTCATGCTTAGGCCATGCTTAGAGACATGAAGAGCTAACCTGCAGGCAATCTGGTGGCGGGGAATGAGCACACTGTGAGCCCCACCTTAGCTACGTGTTAAAGGGAAGGCAGACACAACCATATTTCCTTTAGAACTGGTACAGGGCATTTCTAGCTGCTGCCCGGGAAGGTAGGTAATCCACAGACACCCCAGCACCACAATGCCATGAATATGTCAAAATTTACTACATGGCATTGGGCCAAAGGGCGAAAGCTCATGCGCCGCTGGATCGATAACAACAACAACAACAAACCTAGAAGAAGATAACAAGGACAGATGTTAAACCTAGAAGAAGATAACAATGAAAGATGTTAAACCTAGAAGAAGATAACAATGACAGATGTTAAATCAAGAAGAAGATAACAATGACAGATGTTAAACCTTGAAGAAGATAACAACGACAGATGTTAAATCTAGAAGAAGATAACAATGACAGATGTTAAACCTAGAAGAAGATAACAACGACAGATGTTAAATCTAGAAGAAGATAACAATGACAGATGTTAAACTTAGAAGAAGATAACGACAGATGTTAAATCTAGAAGAAGATAAAAACGACAGATGTTAAACCTAGAAGAAGATAACAATGACAAATGTTAAACCTAGAAGAAGATAACAATGACAGATGTTAAACCTAGAAGAAGATAACAATGACAGATGTTAAACCTAGAAGAAAATGAACTGTTCAGTTTGTTGTTAGTATTGATTGCTCATGGTTTTACTTTTTTGTGTCTAACTGAAACTTACAGGAGCAGTCACCAAAAGCAGACCTGCATGCGGAACTGTTGATCACCCTGAAGGATGGCCTGCTGTTTTCTGTGAACCAGCATGGTGGTGACCCTGACCTTAAATATCTCTGTTTGCAGGTCAACAACGTACAAATGTATCATAATGGTGAGGCTTGAGCGCTGGCTTATTATTGTTGTTATTGTTCTTGCTGAGTTAAGAACCGACATCATAGCCCTTAGCACATTCTCATCCCAAAGGGCTGCGTTAGCTCAGTTGATAGGAGACTCACTTTCAAATCCAGCTGTGACTCGCCGCAGTCCACGGCTGATGTTTGAAACTGGGCGGTACCCGGGGTTCACCCAGCCTCTAGAAAAAACGGGTACCAGAGTTAACATTCTGGGGTAAATGGACGAACGTCGCTGTAGCTATGGAGTTGCGTGCAGCCAGCGGCACAGGCGGACAGTTTCTTATCAACTATCCATACTGGTGGCAGAGCACTTATGGTTTATAACCATGTGCAATGATGCTGGTTCACATCTTCCGACTTTACCTTTACCTTTTTTTTTTACATTCCCATCAGCGCTGTATTCCCCCTTTTCAGCAGCAAGCACAGAGTTCACATTCTGATGGTGCCAGTAACAGTCTGTTTATCTGTCAGTCTGCCCCCTCCCCTAAGTGTTGAGTGACAGTCAGATCGTCTGATCACACCTCGCTGCACCAGTCTCATCAGACTGTTATGATCTATTTGTGCCTTCGCATTGTTTACTCATCCCTAGAGAGTCCTTACAATATCCAGCTTGTCGTCCATCACTTGACCCCCAAGTTGTGCTGAACCAGCCAGTCTATCTGCCTGTTGTTATTATTGTGCGTGTCCATTGAAGCAGTTCACTGTTGCTTGTAATAAATATTTATCATGCTGTTTACTTACTAATTACTGATTTAGGAATAAAGATCATACCACACCGGGCATACACTTAGGGGCTCCGTCTCCCGCAGCAAGTGTAGATGCTGACTGTTCTAGTAGCTCACTGATGTACAGTTATTCTGTTCCTGTCCGAAATCATTTCTTTCTGTATCCAGATCATGTTGTTTTCATTTAACATCCTGTCTTTCATTAGCATTTGCTCATTCAGAGTCTGCAAATTGCATTTGATCTTGTCAGTTCTTTCTTAAGCTAACCCACGAAGAGAACTGATTGCCAGCATCAGTAGGAGACAGCCTACATTCTTCAGGCATGTCATGAGAATAAGAAAGCTGGAGTTCATCATGATGATGGGAAAGCTGGAGTTCATCATGATGATGGGAAAGCTGGAGTTCATCATGATGATGGGAAAGCTGGAGTTCATCATGATGATGGGAAAGCTGGAGTTCATCATGATGATGGGAAAGCTGGAGTGTAAAAGAGGCAGAGGAAGGTTGAGTGAGGAGATGCTGGGCACTTTGACATCATAGCATAGAAGATCATCTGATTGAAACTACGTGAGACAGTGTTATTGATAGACATGACAGACGTGACCACCAATGCCACATTGCATGGACTATAAGAAGAAGAGAAGAAGAAACTATTTCTTTCTCCTTGTTTCTCTCTCTAGTCATCTGTAGAACTCTCTGTATCTATATCTGTCTTTTATCTCTGCAATTCTTTCTGTATTTCTCTGTTTTTTCTTTAGTCTACAATTCTTTCTATATCTCTGTTTATTTCTTTCTTTAGTGCCTGCAGTTCTTCCTTTGTCTTTTAGTTAAGTAATTTCTGCTATATCTCTACGTCTTTTTTTTTTCTGTCATCTTTGTAATTTTTTTCTCATCTGTATCACTCCCCAACTCAGTAACCTGTTATGTCTCTCTGTTTTGTGTATGTGTGTTCATGCATCCGAGCGCATGTGTGTGTATGCGCGCGCTGAGTTGTTCATCCTCTGTCTTTGTGTGTGTGTGTGTGTGTCACTCTGTGTTGTCTTTTCCCAATTAATAATCTCTTCTCAGTCTGTATGATTATGTGTCTGTTTCACTGTGTTTCTGTTCTTCTTGTATCTCATCACTTTTCTCTTGTTACTCAGTTATTCTCTTTCATTCACTTACTCAGTCACTCATCTAATTCTCTGTAATCTTTTTCATTCTTTCACATTTTGCCTCACTCAGTCTCCTTCCTTCATTCTTACATATTAAGTTATTTCATCTTTATTGTTCATTCTCTCACTCTCTACTTATTATGCGTGAGCACCTGCAGTAGCGGGAAAACTCATTATTTCACAGCCAGTAATATTGTTTATCTCCACTTTCCTAGGCTGTGTGATGCTACCGGTTCCGGTGGGTACTTTAGACCACATCAGAGACAAGATCCCCCAGCATCTGAATCCCAGGATCTGCCGCTCGGACCGCTGGGTGTCAGACAAAGTCCAGGGTTTGGCTGGTTATGGAATCGACAGCCCTGACATGCTAACACTTGTGGTCAAGACTAAGCTGGACACACTTAATAACTTGAAGGTTTTTAAAAAATGCCACTTTTCTTGACCATTCCAAAAGTAGATTTTTAAAAAATGTTAGTAGCATATCCTTTACACCAGGGCTGTTCACTTAAGTTTACTCTGGGACCTAAATGTTGAAAATCTGGATCGTTATTTGCCAGAGGTCAGACCCCAGTGTAAGAAAGTCACTAACGCAGTACAGTTGGTAGTCTTCTTCTTCTTCTTCGTGTTCACCAGCTGTAAACTCTGGCAGAAAGTTCTGGTTGTTCATCCACTTTTGGACTGCAGTCCTGTTCCAGAACCTGAGTGTTGCGTGTGCATCCGTTTTACAGATCTGACTCATTTGTATGCAGACTGCTGGTTCCTTGCCCCTCAGGCAGATGCACTCAGGACTTCAAAGGAAGCTCACAATTAGTAGACTCTTATGACATACTTTACGAGATAAACATATGTCAGCACAAACAAGAAGCATTTCCTTATGAATATACTTTGCAGGAGGCCCCCCCCCCCCCCCCCCCTTTCCCTACCAACACATAACAGCACATTGTTTTTTGAGGGTACACTCCATAAGTACAGTCGCCATTTTGTTTCTGTGTTGCAAATGCACATGCAGCACCTAGCACCACCTAACAAATGGAAACATAATGTTCGACGTGGCTGTCACCTAATGACACCTTTACAAACCACCAACTATATTTTCCTGCCATGACATAACTATTTGTGACTTACTTATTGACTTCCCCTCATATGTTCAGGATGTCATTGCCTTCTGAACACTCAGCTCTCCATACTATTGTGAACATCATTGTAAAGAGGTCTGCTGCCACATTGGCTGCATGCAGCCAGGATTGAAACAGCTATTTTGGCCTAGGCCACTAATGCTGACAGCCATATTTAGCCTCCCACTTTTGTTCGTTTGTTAGCCATTTTTCTTGGGTTGCCGTTTTTGACATTTCAAAAGTAATTGTGTTTATTTATCTTCGCAATTATATTCAGTTGTGAATGGCAAGGGTGGAAGGCTTTGGGGGCAGTGAATCTACATCACTCGCCAGAATGATAGACTTGGAAGTTGAGATCAACATAGCAAAACACAGGACACACATCAGAGGACTTGTTAATCAACATAGAACTAGTACTATTAGCCACCGTACGCTAGGGTTCATACTGAGGGGAGGATCTGAGCACCTATGGACATGCCCTGGAGTTCATTGATGATAACCCAACTAACTAAATTGTGAGAAGGCTGCAGTTTTAAGGTCACCAAAATGAACTGAGAATGATTCATCAAGTGTATTTTTGTTTTGTTTGTAAATTCTTATTTATGTTATAACTGTCCTGAACATAACAGTTTGTTTGTTAGTTATTCCTAAAAGTTATACTCTTTGTTATTATTGGAATTGTGCTAATCTGTTATTCACATGGTAATGATTTTTTCACTACATATTATTGCATATAAAAATTGGATTATAGGGTCCAAGTCAAGAGGTCAACCAAGAAAGAGATGGGTGGAGGGAGAAAATGAGACACTACAGTATTGCAGTATAACATTAACACAAGCTGGGGAACTAGCAAAAGACAGGAAGTTACATCTAACACCTCTCTGCAACCCTTTTCCTGAATGAGCAGTTGGACACGGGAGGGGGAAAAAGAATAAATTTTGCATGTTTCCTCTTTATTTATAATAAATTTATAATTGTTGTTGTTTGAGATGAACCTCATAAAACATATGTATGTATGTATGTATGTTTACTGTAGAATTTTACTGTGGCTGTAAGAGTTGATGGAGCCACATTACGTCATGAGATGCATCGTACAGGGGAAAGCTGGGTTAGCCAGGTAAGCCTTTTTGCAGTTTTTGTTGCATTTTATGTGATGTATGAAGATATGGTTGTTCGATTAATAGTTGCTGGTTGTTAGTCAAGGTTGCAACTTCATTGCAGATGAGTCTTTCCATAACAGCTCCGTTTGTGGCTGGTTGAAATCACACATAGTGTCATTTACTGTGCAATTGAAAAACATTTCTGAGAATTTCAGAAGCGTATCAGTGCCAGCAGACCTTGAACTTTGCACTCACAAAGTAAATGCATAAGGCAGCCGTCAGATGTGCCAACATGAACAGTCTTCCGCAAGAATTGCAGCCCTCATTTTATGCAGCAATTAGTCACAAAAGCCGGCATTTGTAAATGCAATACTGCATAATCTCATGTTATACCAAACATAATCGGCCACCAGCCATTTTAATTAGGTTCAGAACAGAAAAAACCTACTGCAAATGAAATCCACAGCTCACAGTGTCGCACCAAGCACTCCGCTCATTAGCTTGGTGACCTTTGTTTTCCTAGCCCAGTAAACCATGACTTTAAAACAAGTAATGTAAAATGTCAGTGACCAGCCAGCCTATCCTCCATATTTGCCCTGAAGTCGCAGTGAATGAGGCAAGGAAATCAGTCACTCCACCTCATTTGATGTGGCCTAGAGCATGTGAAAGCTGAACACTTCACACCTCAGTGGCGATGTCTGTTGCTTGACACACAATTGTTACCTTTAAAATCAGTTATCAGATAAAAGCTTACATGTACTTCCACGACACATTGAAGCTGTTCAACTGAAGTGCTCCCTGTGTGGAGCTTCAAGGCCCTAATTTGGGCTAAAACAAAAACACAACAGACCCACTGCCCCCCTTGACAAGCATTTTGTCAAATTTACTAATTAGGGACATTTCCTTTGAAGTGTGTTTGCATCTGCCTGAGAGGCAAAGAACAAACAGCCTGCATTCATATAAATAGATATGTAGAACAGATGTGGAACAAGACCAGAGTCCAGAAGTGGACAAACAACCAGGACTTTTTGCCTGAATTTTCAGCCAATGAACATGAAGAAAAAGAAGAACCGGAATGCTACATAAAAATTCTTAGAATACCATGGACCAAGAGGAAGAAAAACAGCATCCTGCATACCTGAATATTGAGGAACATTGGCTCATAAACAGCATCCAGCATGACCTGAATATTGAGGAACATTGGCTCATAAACACCATCCAGCATGACCTGAATATTGAGGAACATTGGCTCATAAACACCATCCAGCATGACCTGAATATTGAGGAACATTGGCTCATAAACACCATCCAGCATGACCTGAATATTGAGGAACATTGGCTCATAAACACCATCCAGCATGACCTGAATATTGAGGAACATTGGCTCATAAACACCATCCAGCATGACCTGAATATTGAGGAACATTGGCTCATAAACACCATCCAGCATGACCTGAATATTGAGGAACATTGGCTCATAAACAGCATCCAGCATGACCTGAATATTGAGGAACATTGGCTCATAAACAGCATCCAGCATGACCTGAATATTGAGGAACATTGGCTCATAAACAGCATCCAGCATGACCTGAATATTGAGGAACATTGGCTCATAAACAGCATCCAGCATGACCTGAATATTGAGGAACATTGGCTCATAAACAGCATCCAGCATGACCTGAATATTGAGGAACATTGGCTCATAAACAGCATCCTGTACTGAAAGTTGAGGTATTTTGGCCATGTTAAATGTTAGCCTGGAGAGAACAGTGATGGAGGGGAACAGTTTGTGGGAAATGAGGCAGGGGCAGACTTACGCGAAGGTGGAGGCAGGACATTCAAGATGCATTGGCTATCAAAGCACATAGGGCTGGAGAATTGGCTAGAGAAAAAGAGGCTTTCAGGTGTGCAGTGATTAGAGCGATTTTCTGCAAAGGACCTGCATATTGATAATGATGTTGCTTCTTCTGTTGCACAGGCTGTTGACATTGTTTGCTTTCTTCTCATCTACAGACTGTTAGCCCAGTGATTCCCAAACTGTGCGCTGCATGTCCCCGGAAGCCGCGACCTCTTCACAGGGGCGCTGCGAAATATTGTAAAAGCTTCAGAACTAATTTAACCAAGACACAAATAGTCACACTTTTACTTAGGTTAGGGCGCCGTGGAAAAGTTTTAATTTTTAAAAAAGTGCTGCAACCAAGAAAAGTTTGGGAAACACTGTGTTAACCTAATACACTTGTGGTCTCCCTTGGACTGTTGACATGGTGTGAGATGTTCTCTTCCCCAGGCTATTGATCTCTTGGACTTGAAGGACTTCCCCATCCAGGGATATACCCTGCCAAAGATCATGACAGAGCTGCACCTTCAGATTGATCATTGCGGAGTGGATTACAGGTCAGTTTTCCTTCTGTGTGTGTTCACATTGTCTACTTGATTACAGGTCAGTTTTCCTTCTCTGTGTGTTCACATTGTCTGCTTGATTACAGGTCAGTTTTCCTTGTTTGTGTGTGTGTGTTCACATTGTCTACTTGATTACAGGTCAGTTTTCCTTGTGTGTGTGTTCACATTGTCTACATGATTACAGGTCAGTTTTCCTTCTGTGTGTGTTCACATTGTCTACTTGATTACAGGTCAGTTTTCCTTCTGTGTGTGTGTTCACATTGTCTACTTGATTACAGGTCAGTTTTCCTTCTGTGTGTGTGTTCACATTGTCTACTTGATTACAGGTCAGTTTTCCTTCTGTGTGTGTTCACATTGTCTACTTGATTACAGGTCAGTTTTCCTTGTGTGTGTTCACATTGTCTACATGATTACAGGTCAGTTTTCCTTGTGTGTGTGTGTGTTCACATTGTCTACATGATTACAGGTCAGTTTTCCTTGTGTGTGTGTGTGTGTGTTCACATTGTCTACTTGATTACAGGTCAGTTTTCCTTCTGTGTGTGTTCACATTGTCTACATGATTACAGGTCAGTTTTCCTTCTGTGTGTGTTCACATTGTCTACTTGATTACAGGTCAGTTTTCCTTCTGTGTGTGTGTTCACATTGTCTACTTGATTACAGGTCAGTTTTCCTTCTGTGTGTGTGTTCACATTGTCTACTTGATTACAGGTCAGTTTTCCTTCTGTGTGTGTTCACATTGTCTACTTGATTACAGGTCAGTTTTCCTTGTGTGTGTTCACATTGTCTACATGATTACAGGTCAGTTTTCCTTTGTGTGTGTGTGTGTGTGTGTGTGTGTTCACATTGTCTACATGATTACAGGTCAGTTTTCCTTGTGTGTGTGTGTTCACATTGTCTACTTGATTACAGGTCAGTTTTCCTTCTGTGTGTGTTCACATTGTCTACATGATTACAGGTCAGTTTTCCTTCTGTGTGTGTTCACATTGTCTACTTGATTACAGGTCAGTTTTCCTTCTGTGTGTGTTCACATTGTCTACTTGATTACAGGTCAGTTTTCCTTGTGTGTGTGTTCACATTGTCTACTTGATTACAGGTCAGTTTTCCTTGTGTGTGTGTTCACATTGTCTCCATGATTACAGGTCAGTTTTCCTTGTGTGTGTTCACATTGTCTACATGATTACAGGTCAGTTTTCCTTGTGTGTGTGTGTTCACATTGTCTACTTGATTACAGGTCAGTTTTCCTTCTGTGTGTGTTCACATTGTCTACTTGATTACAGGTCAGTTTTCCTTCTGTGTGTGTGTTCACATTGTCTACATGATTACAGGTCAGTTTTCCTTCTGTGTGTGTGTTCACATTGTCTACATGATTACAGGTCAGTTTTTCTTCTGTGTGTGTTCACATTGTCTGCATGATTACAGGTCAGTTTTCCTTCTGTGTGTGTTCACATTGTCTACATGATTACAGGTCAGTTTTCCTTGTGTGTGTGTTCACATTGTCTACTTGATTACAGGTCAGTTTTCCTTCTGTGTGTGTTCACATTGTCCACCACGTCCTGGCTTGTCAGCTTCTGTCATCTCGTCCTCTGGTCCCTAGTGTCCATTTCTGTTCCATGTGGGGTGGACAGAATCGATGTTAATATAGTGATTTATTTGAAATCCTCTGGAAGACAAGTCTGAATTCTTTTAAGGTTAGACTGAGTGGCATGTATCACTTCAGAGCAACAAAACCTGGCATATGTTATCACAACGTCTTGTTGAGAATGGAGGTGGAGGCAGTCACTGCTGCCTTCCGCTGGTTTCAGAATAATCTGTACACACAAGTTGTGATTGTAACTGACTCACAGAGCATGTTGAGACAGGTGGAGACAGGCATGCTCCGTGTTGAGTGGCAAGCATCACTAGTTAGTTAGCATCATTTGGATATTTTTTCTCCAGGTCATGCCGGTGTGTTGGGAAATGAGCAGGCAGATAGACTGGCCAGTTCTGCGTCACTTGGTGGTGAATTGATGTATGACAAGCTAGATGTTGTGAGGGCCCTTTGGAAGTGAGTGAACAGTGTGAAAGCACAAACAGATCAGTACGGTCTGAAGAGAATGTCTCTGCAAGGAGTCACCAGGGGATAGGCCGAAGCCAAGGAAAAGGTGAGACGGATGTACAATCAGACAGTTACTGGTACCATCAGAACCTCAACTCTTCTCTTCCTGCTGAAGATGAGGACAGAGTGCTTACGGGAGTGTCCAGAGTGCTGTGATGTTGATTTTTAATTTAGCATTCATGGAAAAGCCGAGGAGCTGGACCATATGTAAGGGTACAACAGTGCACTGGTCAAGATATGTCTACTCCTCTCTGTGGTCATCCTAGACACAAGTTCCCAACAGGGAGTCTGGCCAACATTGATAGGATCAACATTTCCTTTGTAATTGGAGTGCATCTGCTGAAGAGGCAAGGAACTGACAGTCTGCACACAAAGAAAGCCATGTCTGTAAAATGGGCGTACATGCAACACTCAAGTCCTGGAACAAAACCAGTGTGTATGTACACCCAAGACTTTCCACTGGAGTTATGTGAAGATGAAGAACTCTTTTAAGTCCAATACATTGGCATCCAAGTTATCTGAGTCCTGACACTGACTTGCTTCTCACTGAGTGAAGTTGGTACAAAGACCTCCCTCAACTCAGTGAAGTACCTACCATCTGCGCAAGCACTGTGAAGAACAAAGCTGGATAGTTTGGGCAAACAAGCACAACAGGCGGTATGCGCTCTGAATGGGAAGAAAGCATTTGAAAATCTCCCTCCCTGGATCTCCAGACGTGGTCATGCTGGCGTAAAGGATAATGAGCGAACCGACCAACTGGTAGACAGCGCACCAACGCATGTGGGAAGAAGCATGGACAGAGCTGATATCATCAACACTGTATGGACTGAGCTAATGGAAAATGACGAATCTCTGACACTAACACAATTGCTTGACTCAGGAGTAAAGCAAGGTGAAGAACATCTATGCTGCCTTCGAGGCTGTCATAGGAGACATTATAACTAACCTCTCATGGGCAAAATTAGTAGAAGTACCTTGGAGTGGCTACTGCCTCGGACGACTGAGCAACGTATGGGAATGTCCAGTGTGCAGTGACGTCGATTGTGGTAAGACAACATTATCAATGTGACACATCGAGGACTATAAGAAAGAAAAAGCAGGAGACAAAAAGTTGTTAGCACACATGATTACCAATGCCACTTGGCATAGACTATAAAAAGAAAACCCAGACCAGTAGGAATCATAATATATTCATCTGACCTCTTTGGCCGGTGGTTCTCTTATTTTGTCCACCTCTGTTGTAGCGGTCCTAGCTGGCAACCAGAATAATAAGAAATTGTTTTTTTCTTTTCAGACCTTTGCACTTACCAGTGTGGAGTTTCCTAACAGTTGAACATTTCAGCGTCTGCACAAACATCATTGCAGAGTCTCTGTTCTCTCAGATACGGCTTCAGTTGGATGATACAGCCTTGTTCCTGTCCAACAAGTGTGACCGAGACAAGGAGAGAGAACAGCGGCTGTGTCAAGACAGACACAAGGAGGTCAATTTATTTAAAGGTGAATTAATTTCCCAGGGGATACTGCATATTTTTTAAGAATAGTCTCATAAATTTTTTTTCTTTGCCTTTCTTATCCCCAATGGAGCATAGGCCGTCAACCAGTTCACACCAAGTCATTCTGTCCTTCTCACAAATTAGCAAGGTTTTTTTTTTTAAGAACAATATATTATAGCAGTGATTCCCAAACTGTGTGATGCTGGGCCCCGGGGAGCCACAACCTCTTCACAGGGGTGCCACAAAATATTCTAAGATACACATTTTTTTTTTTTTTAAATCTCTTACATATGAATAGACATACATTTACTTAGGTTAGGGCACCCTGGAAAAATTTTAATTGAAAAAAGGTGCCGCAACTAAGAAAGGTTTAGGAAACACTGTATTATAGGAATCATTATCATTGTCAGTCAACAGGTCCTTTGCTGACGTCGCTGTCGCTATGTCACGTCGAAAGTCTCTCTTTCTCTAGCTAATTCTCCAGCCCTCTGTGCCTTCATAACCAATGCACCTTCAGTGTCTAGTGTCCACCTTCATGGAAGTCTACATCTGCCTCATTTTCCTGAAACTCTATCCTCTATCACTGCTCTCTACAGGTCAGTTGAATTTTGCTGTTTCCAGGTCACTTGAATTTTGCTCTATCCAGGTCACTTGAATGTTGCTCTCTCCAGGTCACTTAAATTTTGCTCTTTCCAGGTCACTTGAATTTTGCTGTCTCCAGGGCACTTGAATTTTGCTCTCTCCAGGGTACTCGAATTTTGCTGTCTCCAGGGCACTCAAAAGTTGCTCTCTCCAGGGCACTCAAATGTTGCTCTCTCCAGGGCACTTGAATGTTGCTCTCTCCAGGGCACTTGAATGTTGCTCTCTCCAGGGCACTTGAATGTTGCTCTCTCCAGGGTACTTGAATTTTGCTGTTTCCAGGGCACTTGAATTTTGCTGTCTCTAGGGCACTTGAATGTTGCTCTCTCCAGGGCACTTGAATGTTGCTCTCTCCAGGGTACTCGAATTTTGCTGTCTCCAGGGCACTTGAATTTTGCTGTCTCTAGGGCACTTGAATTTTACTGACTCCAGGGCACTTGAATTTTGCTTTCTCCAGGGCACTTGAATTTTGCTTTCTCCAGGGCACTTGAATTTTGCTTTCTCCAGGGCACTTGAATTTTGCTGTCTCTAGGGCACTTGAACTTTGCTGTCTCCAGGGTACTTGAATTTTGCTGTCTCTAGGGCACTTGAATTTTGCTGTCTCTAGGGCACTTGAGTTTTGCCGTCTCCAGGGTACTTGAATTTTGCGGACTTTAAGAATCTTTCAAGGTCATCAGGGTCTGAGTGGTCTTGAGGCATGGTGTCCGCCTCGAGTGCTAGAGGTTCCAGGTTCAATCCCCGGTAAGGACTGGGATTTTTTCAAGCGGACTTGGACTTCTAGTACTTCCAGCTGGTCTCTGGGTAGTGAGATCGGACGCCCGTGTGCTGCATTGTTGCGCACGTAAAAAATCCCTTGGCAGTTGGAAATCGAAAAAACTTATTCTGTTTGAGAGACTTGTCCTGTCAGGTTGACTTATATTGTCATATGTGGACAACTTATACTGTCATATGTGAATGACTTATACTGTAATATGTGGACAACTTATACTGTCATATGTGAATGACTTATACTGTAATATGTGGATGTCTTGTACTTTCATGTGTTAATGACTTATACTTTCATATGTGGATGACTTATACTTTCATTTGTGGATGACATATACTGTCATACGTGGACAACTTATACTGTCATATGTGAATGACTTCTACTGTAATATGTGGACAACTTATACAGTCATATGTGAATGACTTATACTGTAATATGTGGATGTCTTGTACTTTCATGTGTGGATGACTTATACTTTCATATGTGGATGACTTATATTTTCATTTGTGGATGACATATACTGTCATATGCGGATGACTTATACTGTCATATGTGGATGACTTATACTGTCATATATGAATCACTTATACTATCATATGTGGATAACTTTTACTGTCATGTGGATGACTTATACTGCTATATGCGGATGACTTATACAGTCATATGTGGATGTCTTCTGCTGTCATTTGTCAGTGACTTATACTGTCTGAGAGTCTTTTCCTGTTAGGTTGACTTATACTATCGACAGCAGCCACCTGTGGCTAAAATATATAGTGACAACAGGAGGTGCTGCGGTTCCTGCTTATCCATGAGCCACCATTGACTGTCTGGGTAACTTGTTCCTTGTGTGTCTGTCTGCAGACTATGTTTGTGTTGCTGAAATGGATCAGTTCAAAATCTGGCTGCAATTTTGTTATGACAAGTCAACAAAACAGGTATTTCAGTGTCTAGTTACTAGTCTTTGTTTGTAGCATTAGCCATTTTCTTTATATGAGTATCTCCCTGTGGGAGTTTGGTGTCCTTTTGTGTAGGCAAAAGGGAATAGACCCACTCCCCCCACCCCCAACAGTACTGACATACAAATCAACTAATTAGGGGAGCTTCCTTTGAAGTTTGAATGTATCTGACTGAGAGGGAAAGAACCAGCAGTCTGCATACAGATAAGCCAGATCTGTAAAACAGATGTGCATGCACAACTCAAGTTCAGAAGCAAACCAACAGCGCCCCCCACCCCAAAAAAAAATTTTAATTTGCTGAAGAACCTATATGGTGGAGAGTGACTGAATAAGAGAGGTAGGGATCCTCTGCTTTCTGGAGTCAAAAAGAAAAGTCTTAATAAATAAAGAATTATCTTTACCTTCTTTAAAGAATTTACCTTCTTTATTGAAGATTGATGTTGAATTAAGAATCAGCATACTAGCACTCGGGATACTCTTATAAGCGCTCCATCCTCATCTTCAGCAGTAACTCTGATTATATTGATGAACTCTTTCCAATTTTCTTTTTCCAGAGATGCCCAAAATCTGATCTGAGGTTTAAAGTAAACGAGTTAAACCTGCGCACATGTGCTGATTCAACCCGTGCCCTGCAGGACCTGATTCAGTATATCTGTGGTGATGGAGATTTGCTGGACGATGTAGAAGCAGATGACATCACCCCGACAATGTCAGACAGTGATCGCCAGTTTTTCCCAGTATGTTTGTTCAAAATATTTGGTTTATTTCTACATCAACATTTATTGACTTGCTTGCGTTTCTTTCTCTGCCTCTTTTTCGTAGACAATTTCATACATACTTCTGTTTTGTTGTCTTCAAGATAAATAACCAGTGACATTGTGTGGGTTCTTGGGCACTGTTGGGGAGGGGAGGGCAACTGCCCTCTCCCCTCTCCCCCAGCTTGTCTGAAAGGTGCTCATGTCACAGAGTAGCTGTAAACCACAACACAGCATAAAGGCTGGTATTTTGCATGGGGACCTTTTGAAGTCCACCTGAAAAGAAAACTTCAAACAAAAATTTAAGTTTTCTTTTCTGCAGGATTACATCTTGAAAGATGAGCATCCAGTAATAAATAGTCACTGTTTGGATGGCAATCACACAGGAACAAATCCCTAAAACACTGTTCAACTGCACCCACATATAAATTAACCCGTAGTCCCGTGTGAATGGGCTGTCTTTTCTCAAGTTTGATTTTAAACAACTGATGTGCTGAAATAAAAAATGTAGTTCTTTTTTTATGTTACCAAAAGAGTGAAGATGTTGAGGGAAGACAAGAACCATCTCCTGTATTGCATGTACCAACCATCACCCCAGAGCAAGAGGCTTCAGTTGTTTCTGCTTTGGAGGATGCCATGACGGAGTGTCCTGAGCCTGCAAGTAAGTTTAGACCTGACAGTATCACACCTAGCAGATTTATGACTTGGCAGTTTGAAATGTGATTTAGATCTGACAGTATCACACCTAGCAGATTTATGACTTGGCAGTTTGAAATGTGATTTAGACCTGACTGTATCACACCTAGCAGATTTATGACTTGGCAGTTTGAAATGTGATTTAGACCTGACAGTATCACACCTAGCAGATTTATGACTTGGCAGTTTGAAATGTGATTTAGACCTGACAGTATCACGCCTAGCAGATTTATGACTTGGCAGCTTGAAATCTGATATAGACCTGACTGTATCTAACCTAGCAGATTTATGACTTGGCAGCTTAAAAATCTGATTCAAACCTGACAGTTTAAGATCTGACATTAAATGGGAGACCTTACAGTAGATGTTGGAATGAGGCCTAATAATAGATCTACAGTTTCAGAACTGATGGTGGAAGGGAGCTTCACATGATCACAAACAGAAACAAAAAGTGAACGTTGCCTGAAAATACTATACCACAAATACAAACAAAAATTTCCAAAATCACTTAACTGAAGTATTTGTGAGAGAAATCACATCTCTGTCTGGCCAGTTGAATCTCTGACATGTCTGTGACCACCAGAAATAAAAACTAGCCAGAACAAAACTGAACAGCAAGAGCAGTAACTATTAAAAAAAAAAAAGAGATCTACAGTTAGTTATTTAGTCGCAGTTCCAACTTCAAGGCAAATGGATCACGCTAGAATCGCTCCACTCATTAGCGTCCAAGCCCCATTGAATGCCTATCAGTGTCCCTTGTTTACACACACACACACACACAATAAAGATAACAAATAAAAACAGATTGCAGTCTTGAAAAAGCTTACACATGCATGAAATGCATAATGCAAGAAGTACCACCAAAAACAGTCCACCATTAGAATTGCAGTTCATCATCAAGGGAAGCAACAGTTGCAACAAAATTATCAGCGACCGGGTCATCCATTGGCTCGCTGGTAGATGACTTCATCGCCAGTCTAGACAGTATTTGGGTCTGTCTCCTTTGATCACATCAACAAAGAGTCCTCTTCATGACTCTTGGTGGCAGACAGTGCTAAGACATTTTATATGGCGCACATAACATACTCACAACTATAACCTAAAGCTCCCCCCTTCTGGGATGCTGGTTGAAAGGTGATGATTTTTTTTCCGCAAAGCTCCACCACTACAACAAGATGGAAAGATAACATCAGAGAAACTCTACAACAGCAGAGTGCGTCTATACAATAAGATGGAAAGATAACATCAGAGAAACTCTACAACAGCACAGTGTGTCTATACAACAAGATGGAAAGATAACATCAGAGAAACTCTACAACAGCACAGTGGGTCTATACTTGAGGTGGCCAGAAGAACAGGAAGCAGAACCTTATCTCCCTCAACACTTACTTAGTTGCTCCTCTTCTATCATGGGGTGTAGAGGTTTGACAGAGAGATCGCCAGACGTCTCTATCAACCGTTTTCTCCCTCAACACTTACTTAGTCGCTCCTCTTCTATCATGGGGTGTAGAGGTTTGACAGAGAAATCGCCAGACGTCTCTATCAACCGTTTTCTCCCTCAACACTTACTTAGTCGCTCCTCTTCTATCATGGGGTGTAGAGGTTTGACAGAAAGATCGCCAGACGTCTCTATCAACCGTTTTCTCCCTCAACACTTACTTAGTCGCTCCTCTTCTATCATGGGGTGTAGAGGTTTGACAGAGAGATCGCCAGACGTCTCTATCAACCGTTTTCTCCCTCAACACTTACTTAGTCGCTCCTCTTCTATCATGGGGTGTAGAGGTTTGACAGAGAGATCGCCAGACGTCTCTATCAACCGTTTTCTCCCTCAACACCTGAAGCGGTAAAAGAGGAGGAGAAGAAGGGGTAGATCTGTTGTGGATCTAGATCTCCTGTTATTAGATCAAGACTTAATAATTTAAGATCTGACAATGTAGATGGAACCTTACTGAAGTAGACCCAACACTTTGACAGTTCCAGTATGAAACTTACAAACAATTTATGACCAGACAGTATGATACAAACAATTTATGACCAGACAGTATGATGTCTGCACCATATTTACTGTTTTGTATACTATTCTAACAGAAGCCCCCCAAAATTTACTGTTTTGTATACTATTCTACCAGAAGCTCCCCAACATTTACTGTTTTGTATACTATTCTAACAGAAGCCCCCCAAAATTTACTGTTTTGTATACTATTCTACCAGAAGCCCCCCCCCCCCCCAAATTTACTGTTTTGTATACTATTCTACCAGAAGCCCCCAAAAATTTACTGTTTTGTATATTATTCTACCAGAAGCCCCCAAAAATTTACTGTTTTCTATACTATTCTACCAGTAGCCCCCAAAATTTACTGTTTTATATACTGTTCTACCAGAAGCCCCCCAAAATTTACTGTTTTGTATACTATTCTACCAGATGCCCCCCCCCACCCCCCCCCCCCCCCCCCCCCCCCATATTTACTATTTTGTATACTATTGTACCAGAAGCCCCCCAAAATTTATTGTTATGTATACTGTTCTACCAGAAGCACCCCGCCAATAAATTTACTGTTTTGTATACTGTTCTACCCCCCCCCCCCCCCCCCCCAAATTATTGTTTTGTATACTTTTTCTACCAGAACCCCCCCCCCCCCCCCCAATTTATTGTTATGTATATTGTTCTACCAGAAGCCCCCCAAAATTTATTGTTATGTATACTGTTTTACCAGAAGCCCCCCAAATTTACTGTTTTGTATACTGTTCTACCAGAAGCCCCCCAAATTTACTGTTTTGTATACTGTTCTTCCAGAAGCTCCCCAAATTTACTGTTTTGTATACTATTCTACCAGAAGCCCCCCAAATTTACTGTTTTGTATACTATTCTACCAGAAGCCCCGCAAAATTTACAGTTTTGTATACTGTTCTACCAGAAGCCACCCAAAATTTATTGTTATGTATACTATTCTACCAGAAGCCCCCCAAATTTACTGTTTTGTATACTATTCTACCAGAAGCTCCTTAACATTTACTGTTTTGTATACTATTCTACCAGAAGCTCCCCAACATTTACTGTTTTGTATACTATTCTACCAGAAGCCCCCCAAATTTACTGTTTTGTATACTATTCTACCAGAAGCTCCTTAACATTTACTGTTTTGTATACTATTCTACCAGAAGCTCCCCAACATTTACTGTTTTGTATACTATTCTACCAGAAGCTCCCCAACATTTACTGTTTTGTATACTATTCTACCAGAAGCTCCTTAACATTTACTGTTTTGTATACTGTTCTACCAGAAGCTCCCCAACATTTACTGTTTTGTATACTATTCTACCAGAAGCTCCCCAACATTTACTGTTTTGTATACTATTCTACCAGAAGCTCCCCAACATTTACTGTTTTGTATACTGTTCTACCAGAAGCTCCCCAACATTTACTGTTTTGTATACTATTCTACCAGAAGCTCCCCAACATTTACTGTTTTGTATACTATTCTACCAGAAGCTCCCCAACATTTATTGTTTTGTATACTTTTCTACCAGAAGCTCCCCAACATTTACTGTTTTGTATACTGTTCTCCCAGAAGCCCCCCAAAAGACCAAGAAGAAAAAGAAAGACGGCAAGATGACTAATGTCTACTTCCAGTGCAACAAGGAGAACATTAACTTTGAGACTCAACATAGACACCAGGCTCCACTGCAGATCACAGTCTTTGACGGGTCTGACTCCAGCACCCCGGACGAGGAAGGGCAGGACAACAAGGACACCGAGGAGTTTGAGTTCATTGACTGTCACTTTAAGGAAATCACAGTAAGTTTAACTGTCACTTTAAGGATATCACAGTAAGTTAAACTTCACTTTAACGAAATCATCCTAAGTTGAACTGTCATTTTAAGGAAATCAGTATGTTGAACTGTCATTTTAAGAAAATCAGTATGTTGAACTGTCATTTTAAGGAAATCAGTATGTTGAACTGTCATTTTAAGAAAATCAGTATGTTGAACTGTCATTTTAAGGAAATCAGTATGTTGAACTGTCGTTTTAAGGAAATCAGTTTGTTGAACTGTCATTTTAAGGAAATTATCATAAGTTGAAATGTGTCACTTTAAGGAAATCAGTATGTTGAACTGTCATTCTAAGGAAATCATCCTAAGCTGAGCTATCACTTTAAGGAAATTACAGTAAGTTGAACTGTTAGTTTAAAGAAATTACAGTAAGTTGAACTGTTAGTTTAAGGAAATTACAGTAAGTTGAACTGTTAGTTTAAGGAAATTACAGTAAGTTGAACTGTTAGTTTAAGGAAATTACAGTAAGTTGAACTGTTAGTTTAAGGAAATGACAGTAAGTTGAACTGTTAGTTTAAGGAAATTACAGTAAGTTGAACTGTTAGTTTAAGGAAATGACAGTAAGTTGAACTGTTAGTTTAAGGAAATTACAGTAAGTTGAACTGTTAGTTTAAGAAAACCATTGTAAGTTGTGATGTCACTTTAAGGAAATCGAAAGTTGAAATTTTAAGTTGGACTTACCCATTCTGTATGTAATTCCATGACAGATGAGAAGATCATGTCTGTTGTCTTACAATTACTCATCATAGCAGACAGGCATACCCATATCTGCTCTTGTCTCCCCCAACTAATATCTTAAGGTGTACTCCCACAACTAATATCTTAAGGTGTACTCCCACAACTAATATCTTAAGGTGTACTCCCACAACTAATGTCTTAATGTGTACTCCCACAACTAATATCTCAAGGTGTACTCCCGCAACTAATATCTTAAGGTGTACTCCCGCAACTAATGTCTTAAGGTGTACTCCCGCAACTAATGTCTTAAGGTGTACTCCCACAACTAATATCTTAAGGTGTACTCCCACAACTAATGTCTTAATGTGTACTCCCACAACTAATATCTCAAGGTGTACTCCCGCAACTAATGTCTTAAGGTGTACTCCCGCAACTAATGTCTTAAGGTGTACTCCCGCAACTAATGTCTTAAGGTGTACTCCCGCAACTAATATCTTAAGGTGTACTCCCGCAACTAATATTTTAAGGTGTACTCCCGCAACTAATATCTTAAGGTGTACTCCCGCAACTAATATATTAAGGTGTACTCCCGCAACTAATATCTTAAGGTGTACTCCCGCAACTAATATCTTAAGGTGTACTCCCCCAACTAATATCTTAAGGTGTACTCCCCCAACTAATATCTTAAGGTGTACTCCCCCAACTAATATCTTAAGGTGTACTCCCGCAACTAATATCTTAAGGTGTACTCCCGCAACTAATATCTTAAGGTGTACTCCCCCAACTAATATCTTAAGGTGTACTCCCCCAACTAATATCTTAAGGTGTACTCCCACAACTAATGTCTTAAGGTGAAGATACTAACCGCTTCTGTAGCACACATGGTTCTCTTTCTCTCATTCATCACTTCTTGCTAGACCCACACCTAATTGCATGTTCACACACTCTAAAATTGTTTTGCTGACATTGTGAGGGCCCTTGGGGAGCGAGTGAACCGTGTGAAGGTACAAATAGATCATTACGGTCTGAGGAGAATGGCGCTGCAAGGAGTTACCAGGGGATCTGGCTGACGCTCGACACCCAAGAGAAAGGCGAGACGGATATATGGTCAGACAGTTACTGGTGCCATCGGAATAGAAACTCTTTGCTTGCTGCTGAAGATGGGGAATGGATTGCCTATGGGAATGTCCCGAGTCCTGTCATGTTGATTCGTAATTCAACATTCACAATTTTGAATATCCAGAATATACAAGGAAGTCATGAGGTGCACATGTTGACCAATGGCCCCATAGAGGTGGAGGAGAACTTCATCCCCAAACCCACAAGTAGCTACGACCACCTGAAGGCACCTGATAAGTTTCCTGACCCCGAGCATCAGTACACCCTGAGGGAGATGTCTGTCGTGTGGCACATCTATGGCGGTAGCGACTTCTCACACCCACGCAGGGGCTCCAGTGGAGTTTAGCCCCAACTTCATCCTCCTTCTTCTTCCCATTCCTCTTCTCTCTCCTCTTTTTTTCTTTCTTGATTCTCTTCTGTTTCTTCTTCTTCTTCTTCTTTTATTCTTTTTCTCTTCTTCTCCTCTCCTCCTCCTTCTTCTTCTTCTTCTTCTTCTTAGTCTTCTTCTTCTTTCTCTTCTTCTTTTTTCTTCTTCTTTTCTTCTTCCTCCTCCTCTTCTTCTTTTTCTTCTTCTCTGCTTCTTCACCTTCTTCTTCTTCTTCTTCTCCTCCTCCTCCTCTTCTTCTTCTCCTCCTCCTCCTCCTCCTTCTTAAAAGGGCAGTTAGGATGTTATGCTGTGGTTGATATTTAGGTCACACCTTAGACCCAACATCTGATTGTAGCAAACCTCTATTATTCTCTTTTTACGAATGATGTTAACGGTCAGCAGGTCTGTTCTTGATACTCCCAGAACTGGGCTTCCCCAACTCACGCAGGGAATACTGATTTGTATGAGAGGTACATCATAATGGACCTTTCCACATTTGTGAAGTTGCAGTACTCGACACTCAACCAGTTTCCATAAGAAGACAAGGAGAGCTCTGCTGCAAACACACTTCCCATGGAAATCAAACTTTGGTACTGGGTCAAAGCTAAAGATTCTGCTGCACCAACTTTTAAAATAGAAGCAAGCCTTTTTATGGTTCCGTGTACCCTATTGTCTGTAAATCAGAGTTAAAAGTTCAGACTCAGTCTGACAGCAGTACGCAACCAACCTGGTGAAATTTTACTGCTTTAAAGTAATAATGTGAGCTCTGAGGCTTCAGGGGGAGTGGGAATAGACCCACTGCTCCCCCTAACAAGCGTGTTGGGAAAGATGACGAACCAAAGACACACATATTGTGTTCTTGCTGTAAACCATAACACAGTGTGCCAATGGGTGAATGTGAATGTCAGATGTGGTTAGCCCTAGTCCCTTTACTTAAGTTATATTTGACATATTTCATTGTCCCTAATTGTGCACTCTTTGTTATTCATTTCTTCTTCTTGTCATTCGTCGAGTGATGTAATTTGCATTGTGCCTGTTTACGGTGAAGCTGCAACGCTGTTTTTCATTTTATGTCTTTTCTTTGTTTCAGAGCGCCCAGGCTTTTCTAAAGGACTCCCAAGGTAAAATTAAGTTTAAAGATAGAAAGAAAATTGAAAGCGTTTCATATGGGGAATATGAGTAGAGGATTGACAGGAACATGATTTATTGTTAGACCCAGTTTGTCGATGTTTTTGTAGTGTTAAAGGCGCTGGAATGCTGAAATACAGAACACGCAATATCAACGGCATTGGGGAACATCCCTGTCACCTTGTGCCACGGTTTGGTGGCTCAAGGTCAACCAATCAGAAGTGAGCTAGTGTGTATATGGATGGTCCGTGGGGAGACCAACATTTCTATTACCTGTCCTTGCACTGTAAACCTACAGTGTCTAAAGAGTAGTCATAACCACCATCTTGTCTGGCCATTATACGTAGGGCTGTGCAGTCAAGTCCACCACTGCATGCGATTTTGGGCTATCATTTTCACACATGGATGGAATCCACTCCAACACCCTTAGCCTTTCTCTACAACATTAGGGTTTTTCTTGGACGTTCTTGTTCTCACAGTCTATTTGTTTACCATTTCGGTTAAAGTAACGTTAATCTCCCCAAATAGAGTAGGTCACTTTTCATTGACAAGTTTGTTGGGCTGGTGGTCACTTTTCATTGACAAGTTTGTTGGGCTGGTGGTCACTTTTCATTGACAAGTTTGTTGGGCTGGTGGTCACTTTTCATTGACAAGTTTGTTGGGCTGGTGGTCACTTTTCATTGACAAGTTTGTTGGGCTGGTGGTCACTTTTCATTGACAAGTTTGTTGGGCTGGTGGTCACTTTTCATTGACAAGTTTGTTGGGCTGGTGGTCACTTTTCATTGACAAGTTTTTTGGGCTGGTGGTCACTTTTCATTGACAAGTTTTTGGGCTGGTGGTCACTTTTCATTGACAAGTTTTGTTGGGCTGGTGGTCACTTTTCATTGACAAGTTTGTTGGGCTGGTGGTCACTTTTCATTCACAAGTTTTTTGGGCTGGTGGTCACTTTTCATTCACAAGTTTTTTGGGCTGGTGGTCACTTTTCATTGACAAGTTTTTTGGGCTGGTGGTCACTTTTCATTGACAAGTTTTTTGGGCTGGTGGTCACTTTTCATTGACAAGTTTTTTGGGCTGGTGGTCACTTTTCATTGACAAGTTTTTTGGGCTGGTGGTCACTTTTCATTCACAAGTTTTTTGGGCTGGTGGTCACTTTTCATTCACAAGTTTTTTGGGCTGGTGGTCACTTTTCATTCACAAGTTTTTTGACCTGGTCGACTGTCCTAAAGGTTACAGGCGTGTCCCGCTCTATTGTTTGCTTTTTTGTGTTGTCTTGCATTAACGTTTTCATTCTGAGAAAGAGAATGCCTGTGACGTGTACCCCCCCACATCCTGTCCATATCTCCTCATGGTGTGCACGGTATAATGCATTCTTTTGTTATAAAATAAATGTTAATAGAAGCAGTCTTCCAGACATTTTTTCACAGAACTAACGGAGAGAGATAGAGATTTAAATTAATTATTCCTACAGTGTGAATTTCCATTGCATCTGTATGTCTGTCTTATTGTGTATACTTGAAATTGCATGCTCACATGCACACATAGAAAGAGTTTAGTTAAATCAAGAATTGATCATCACAGCACTCAGGGCATTTCCATGTGTGCTCCATCCTCATCTGCAGCAGCCAGCGCAGAGTTCCAACACTGATGGTGTCAGTCACAAGCTGGTTATATGTGTGTCTTGCCTTTCCTCTGAGTGTAGTCAGCTGGCCAGACCCTCTGGTTGCACTCATTACATAGAAAGAATGATAAAGGGAGGAAAGTGACAGACCAATAGATCACTAGTATTATAAATATTTCAAACTTCCACAGTCCTCGGGAGCAGAGAAAACTGTCGGAGACTGGTGGCAGACACGGCTGGCGACGGAAGGGTGGCGACTGTAGGGACCATGATGTGAAACTGGAGCTGGATCTGAATAAAGTAAGTTGTGGAAGTCTATAAAGGCTCTCGTTTGAATTTATGAACAATGGATCAACATCATGGCACGTGGGTAGTAACACATTAGTGCTCTATTCTTCTTCTAACTCAAGAAGTCTGAGTCCGAAGAAGCTCAGCACAGTGCACAGTAGATTTTTAACTCCAAATTTGGCCCGGGCAACGCCGATAGCTACTCTTTTCGATTTCCAACTGCCAAGGGATTTTTTAAGTGTGCAACAATGCACACGGAAAAACTCACAACCCAGAGACCAGGAGGAATTACTAGAAGTCCAAGTCCACGTGAAAAAATCCCACCCCTTACCTGGGATTAAACCTGTAATCTCTAGCACTCAAGGCGGACACCATGCCTCGAGACCACTTAGGCTCTCACTTAAATACAGCTCGATTCCATCTCAACGTTTTCAGTTAAGACTCATTGTTTTCATCATCTATGTATTCTGCTGATAAGAGTGGTCATTCATGATTCCCCATCTTGAACAATCAACAAACTTTGACCAGGGTCTTTTCTTTTTCTGTTTATTCTATTTGGTGAAAGGTTGGGTGCTCACCTTTTGGCCCGAAGGTATGTGGTTCAAATCCGCAACAAAGCGGACTTTTAAAAATTAGCCTTGGCTCCCAGGTCGACCCAGCCCAAAATGATATTGACCACATCGCCATCAAGTGCAGATGTGTCTACAAATCTTGACCTCTACCACAGTATGTCCAAAGCACCAAAGGTATGCAGAGGGTCCTTTTGTGGTCAGGTCATCCAGGCAGTTATCTCTTTGTCTTCTCCTTACTCGGTTCCCATTACATTTGCCAGTTGTCACCAAGTGAGCAGCTCAACTTGCTGCGGAAAATATATGCATTTAACATCACCGTTTTCTGTATGTTACTTGCCGCTCACAGCATACATATTGTTATATGAACATATCATACTTTACAGATAAAATACAATTGCAGTATGAAATATGAGTGTTTGGAAAGGCTGAATGTAAAGGATGAGTCTGTGCGCGTAGTTGTTTTACCCTTTGAAAATACAGCTTGTTTTTTCATTCGTTCAGTGTGCATAGAAAATCTGTTTTGTCTTGTCTAACTTTTCTAGTCAGTTTCTGGTTGTAGTTTTTTCCTTTAAGTTTCAGATTGCTACTGTCTGTAGGTGTCTCTCACTGTCAGGTGTAATAACAGAGGATGGCAGACGTGAAACAGAAGCCTTCCCCATGTGGGTTCTGCGCCCTCATTTTTAGGGAATATAATAGACATTCTAGCATGTCACCATTGGCACCTTTCCGTCTGTCCAGACAATAGTGTTATAATTGCTCTCCTGAAGTCGGAGTACATCTGCCGGAGAGGCGGGGAAGGAGAACTGCGAACAAATAAGCCAGTAAAACGGATGTACACGCAAAACTCAGGTCAAGGTAAAAGCCAAAAGTCCATTTTGGACGAACAATCGCGACTTACCGCCGGAATTCACAGCCGGTGAACAAGAAGAAGAAGAAGTGTTATATTGCGCTATGAGGAGGCATGATACTCACAGCCCATGGCGATGGCGAGTGTGATTAGCAAGACCCGCCCGTGTCAAGAAAAGTCTTCCACAATGATAGCGTGGGATTTCAGGACCATTGTTAATAACATTTGTGTTAAATCCGTTTCTTTTCAGACGCTCAGCTCTCATCCTTTCTGCAATCATTTCTTCCTTCAGTCTCATTCCCTTCCTGGTACGCCCTTTCCACACAACACGGTCCATGGCATCTTGTTCCCATAAGTCCGCCTGTATCATTCATGTCCCACTTGAACACATCTTTATAACGTAGTAGTGGTCGGCCTCGACATCTTCTTCGTGTCTTTAATTCACCATAAAGGATGTCCTTAGGGACTCTGCCATCCTCCATTCTCCATGTGTGACCCAACCACCTAAGCCTTCGTAGACTGAGCATGGAAAAGACTGTGCGTGACAATTAATGAGGGGTTTGATGATATAGGGTTTTTTAGGCGAAAAAGTGCAGATATTCTCTGTGATCTCACCATAGCCCAGTAAATTACCACTTTGACATCTGTACAGATTCGATTCCGGTATGATGTGTATACAGCAACTGCAAAGCAGTCCTCCAGGTTCAAACTGCTGGTCAATAACATCGAGCTGCGTGACAAGGTCAAAGCTTCAGACATCAACAAGTTCCTGGTGAGGCTTGTCGACAAGGAGAACCCGGAGCAGACGTCTGCTTACATGGTGAGTTGTTTCTCTTGCTTTCTATACAGTGGAGCCTACAAGTTCAAGCTCTGTTTACATCTCTCATCATCATCATCATGTAGCAGGTCCTTTGCAGAACGCCAGTTCTCCCGCCTCATGTACTTTCATATTCAAGGAGTCACTTATATCCTGTGCCCATCTTCGTGTCGGTCGGCCCCTGCCCCTCCTTCCTGGTACCATGCCTTCTGCTACAATTTTTTCCAATCCGTCGTAGCATTTGATATGACCAAAATATTTCAGTTTTCGAGAAAGGATGCTGTTTACCAATCTTCCTTGATCTTTTAAGATGTCAATATTTCTCTTCTTTTTTGTCCAAGATATTCTGAGAATCTTTCTAAAGCATTTCAGCTCAAAAGCCTCTATTCTCTTTCTTAAGGACTGAGTGATAGTCCACGACTCACATCCGTATGTAGCCACAGGGAAGATGCAAAAAATTCTAATTTTTATCTCCTTGCTGGATCTTAACCATAGACTTTTAAGGCTGTTCAATCTTTGCATTGCTATAGCCATCCTCCTTTTAATTTCTGTTGAACAGTCTCCATTGTTGTTTATTATAGAGCCTAGATATTCAAAGTTTGGGACATTTTCTATTTCTTCATTTATTGTTTTTTTTTTTTTTTGGGTGACAGTCTGTTTACATCTCCAGTAGGTTAAATTTAGGCGTTTTATATTGACCGTGACATCCAGGGCAACATTGAATGATAATGACAATCTGGCAAAAAATAAGGAACAGCTGGCCAAGTGGTTGGAATCCTGAGTAAAGGTTGGGGATGTTTTTTTTTTCTGTCAAGGGCAGAAATAAATATTCCTAGCTGTGCATTAGCACTTTGGTCTAAAATTAACAGACCCCCCCTCCCCCCCCCCAACCTGGGTCCTGGGTCCCTAGTCACCATTGGGGGGGGGGGGGGGGGGGGAAGGAGACCCACTGCCTCCCAAACAGGCATGTCATTATAGCTGACTAATTAGGGTTGCTTAGTTCAAAGTCGGAGCACATTTGCATGAGAGGGTAGGAACCATCAGTCTGCATACAGAAAAGACAGATCTGTAGACTGGATGTGCATACAAAATCCAGGTTCTGGAACAAGTCCAAAGTCCAGAAATGGACAGACAACCAAACTTTCTGCCAGAGTTTAAAAGCCAGTAAACTCTAAGAAAAAGAATAAGAAAAAGAAGAAGAAGAAATTCCCAGACCCCATATCCCCTCTGCCCTATAAGGTAACAAAGTAAAGACCCCTTTTCCACACGTGAGGTGTGTTGGGCATGCAGGACTAGACCTGTATTTTATAGATCAATCAGCACTCTCACGGAAATGAGATGTCTGAGAAGGGCTGTAGGAGTGACCATAAGAGATAAAATCAGGAATGAGATCATAAGAGAACAAGTCGGCACAGAACCAATTCTGGATTACATACAAAGACAGCAAGTGAAATGGTTTGCCCACTTAGAGAGAATGCCTTGTGACACCATACCATACAAAGCATACATGGAAAGAGAAGAAAGACGTAGAGCACGGGGTAGACCAAGAACAAGATGGAAGGATAACATGAGAGAAGCTCTACAACAGCACGATGTGCCTATGGTCGAGGCAGCCAGAAGAGCTAGAAACAGAACCTTATATCTCCCTCGACACCCACAGCGGTAAAAGAGGAAGTGAAGAAGAAGAAGAATCAGCACTCTGTGGGTGATGGCCTCCTTTACTTCCCAGGATTTTACCTAGCACCCACTCAAAGCTGGGTTGACCCGGCAGCCAGTCATTTTGGAAAAAGGTCAGGGTCTGAACCCACAACCTTCTAATCCACAAGCAGGCATCTGACCACTTCACCACGGTGCCCTCCTACCAACACCCTAAAATAAAGTGGCACTATAGACGGTTAAAAAAAATTGAGGGGTTGCAAATCCATTACAGGACTTGCATAACCAACTCGGGCGTTTTTTAGTTTTACTAGGCAATTTTCCGTACTGTAGTTTGGCATTGCTCTGAATGGTCAGCTCTTTATACCTTTGTCAAATCAGTTTAAGTCTGCTATGTAGGCAATAAAGACAGCTGTTTTATATTTATCTTGAAAGTTTTATTTTACGAGTACTTGCTTATGTATCTTCTTTTATTTGTATTTATCTTCTTGTGAGTTTTATGTTATGTCTCCATGCTTTTATATGTTGATATCAACAGCTGATGTTCAGTGGGGTGTTTATTAGACCCGAACACCTGCCTTTCAGAGAGGACTGTGAGGTGAAGGCCTTCTGCTTGCCCATTCAGCTGAACGTTGACCAGGTGAAGTTTTACAAGTAGTTGTATTTATATTAATTGAAAGAAACATTTATCACTTTTTTTTAAAATCTTTGTTGTCTGTTTCTTTTGTTTATTTTATTTTTTTTCTTTGTTTGTTTTCTTTTTTTTTTTTTTTTTTTGTGCTTTTAGTGTCATTTGTTTTTTCTTTATTGTTTGTTTTCTTTGAATATATTTTTTTTTTTTTTTTTTTTTTTTTTTTTTGTTTATTGATTGCTTTCTTTATTTTTTGTTTTTATGTTGTTTTTTCCTGTTCATTAATGTTTTCTTTGGGTTTTTTTTCTTCTCATTGTTTGTTTTCTTTGTTGTTTGATTATTGTTTAATTTCTCTGTTGTTTTTTGTTTTGTTTGTTGTTTGAGTGCAGTTCGGTTTTGTTTATTGTTTGTTTTCTTTGTTGTTGTTTTTTGTTTATTATTTGTTTTCTTTGTCTGTGTTATGTTTTTCGTTTGTTTTTGTTTATTGATTTTCTTTATTGTTTGTTTTCTTCTTGTTCATTGTTTGTTTTCTTTTGGGTTTTTTCTGTTGATTGTTTGTTTTCTTTTTGTTTGATTATTGTTTTGTTTCTTTGTTGTTTTTTTTTTTTTTTTTTGCTAGTTTTTTTTTTTTCCTTTATTGTTTGCTTTCTCTGTTGTTTGTGTTTTGTTTCCCTATTGAAATTTTTAATGAAAAAGACAACAAACAATAAATAACACAATCGATTTACTTGTGCATGTCCCTATATCTGCTTTATTGTATTTAAGTGCTAGGGTAGTATGCACTGACAGGATACAGTAAAATATTGTGTTTTTCTTTTGTAACTTTAATTCTCTGCATCTAGAACACCCTCAACTTCCTGCGCAAGTTTGTGACTCAGGTCACTGAACCCGACCGTGACCTGACATCTGGTAGTGGGTCCGCTGGTGGCAGGTCGTCACCTCAGGGAGGGCGAGCATCGCCGCTGGGAGGAAGGGGCAGTCCACGTCATTCGCTGTCAAATACAGAACCAATCATGAGGATCGGAGAGCCCTTGACTAAAGAGAGCAGCATGGATGAGACGGAGCTGCTCATGAAGTTTGAGGACTTCAGCAATCAGCAGAGCCAGTATTTGCAGGTAACATTGGAGTTAAATTATACAGTTGTACTATTTCTTAATAGTACTTCTTCTTCTTCTTCTTCTTCTTCTTCTTCTTGTTCACTGACTTTAGGCTTGTTCCAGAATCTGAGTTTTGCATGCATATCCATTCTACACATCTGGTTTATTTTTTTGCAGGCTGTTGGTTCCTTCACTCTCAGGCAGGTGCACTCTGACTCTTATGATATGTTTGTTAGGGAGGCTCTGGGTCTATTCCCCCCCCCCCCCCCCCCCCCCCCCTGCTACACACATTGGGGCTTCAAATCCCACACTGGGAAATTTGTTGTACTTTTTGAATGAGTTAAATCATTAAGTTGTGCAGCTTGATGGAGTTAAATTGCTTAGTGTACAATAGATTGGCTGAATTCACTGTCTGCGTATGGAGCTTGCCTCGACTCGCCAGATTATGCTGATAGAATCACTCCGCACACAGACATGGGAAAAGTCCTGTGATTCTAACCACATAAAAGCTTGTCACCTCCATCACCTCCATCACCTCAGTCATCAATAAAATACTTGTTTGTATGTTGTGTGTTTTCACTTGCAGGCTCGGCTCAATGAGAAGGATAACCCAGAGTTGCCACAGGAGAATTTGCCTGTGTTTATCAAGTATGTATATCTTCATCATCAGAGAGTTATTTTATGTCATGTTATTACAGTCAGCTTCACTGCTCACTAGGCATTCTCATGCGTGCTCAGTCCTCAAGTTCAGCAGCCACCTCATTTTACCTTTAGTGATTAGAAAGGATTATCATCACAGCACTCCGGACAGATCCATAGATGCTCCGATCTCCTCCTCAAAAGCTTCACAAGTGTAAAACGACTGATGACCCCTGTTCTATGTTGGTTAATGACACGTCCTGTACCCTTAGTGAAATGTTCATTTCTTGCAGCTCCAGGCTGCACCCCCATGTCCAGCAGTCTAGACAGGGATATGGAGTCATGTCCTTTGGCGTGCTCCTCGGTACGGTAAGTGCAGCGCATGGCATTGATAACATCATTTCTGTCCAGTACTGGACCAGCCATAGCAACCGCAGTGTCAGCAAGATAATCTGCATGCTTGTTCCTTTGAACACCCTCATGACCTGGCACAAAGATGAAGGTTAGATTTTACCTTTACTGATTGATTGTTCTCATGACAAGTTACACGTCTTCTATCTTGACCTCGAAGAAAGCACTTACGGGCTTCACTAGGCTTCACTCTAGGTCATGCAATTGTATTAGCATGAGAGATGACTGTCTGCCCTCTAATTGGTATAGCAATGATGATATCTGCTCTGTCGGTGCATCCTCCAGCATATAGTAGTGTAATACTTGCCAGTTGGTCTGTTCATTCATTACCCTCGTACTGTGTCATTTCAAGTGTGTAGATCTAGGTGAGGAAGGATATGACTTTTGAATGCTGTCTACTCTTTCATCATCATCATCATCATCATCATCATCGTCATCTTCTTCTTCTTTGACATCATCCATCATGTGGCATGTTTAGCAGTTCAGACAATCATTTCTGTCCACACACATGTGTCGTCTACATTCTTGATAATCCACTCATTATTTTGTTCACTGTTCCGTCAACACATCCACTGTTTTCTCCCTCTTTCAGTCTATCTAGTACTACTCCGTCAACCTCTCTGTCCACCACCTCACTCTTCTGGGTTTTCATGTTCCACAGACTATGTCGACCTATATTTTGACCATATAAACATGATGGCTGTCTTGTTCGTAGTGTGGTAATAACCTAACTTTATTGCTTTTACAATTTTCGCTTTAAACTCATCTATTATTTATTTAATTTATTAAGTGGGTCGGTCAGGTGCTGTCTTTACAATGAAGGTTGTATTCTGTAGTTTTTCATACTCCATATTTGGGATTTGTCATATTCCACAGTTGTGGATTTTCATATTCCATAGTTGTGGATTTTCATACTCCATAGTTGTGGATTTTCATATTCCATGTTTGTGGATTTTCATACTTCATAGTTGTGGATTTTCATATTCCATAGTTGTGGATTTCAAGCTGTAGGATAGACATGGCCAGTGAAGACACCTTTTTTTTTATCGGATGCCTATTGTGTCGTGTTTTTAGTACGCTTGTTTCCATATTGAGATGCACACGCCATTTGGAGGTGACAGGTTCGATTTCCAGCAGGGTAATTACAGTTTTCAATGTTTATGTTGTCAAGTGTGTCCTTCTATCTTTCTACTTCTTTTTGTGAGTGCTGATCAATACACTGTCTCACTGTTTATTATATACACAGTGAAGGTTGGCTGCAATGGATCTCCAACACTGACTGTCTCTTGAATGGTTTTACACTGCTGTTAATCCATCTCTTGATGTTGTCCTCCCACTTGTATCATTTTCTACCTCTTTCCTTTGACCATTCTCTCCAGTATGAGGAAGTGTATTATTTAATGCTGTAGATTTAAGGATTTTTCTTATTTAAAATATATGTTACCATTCCTTTTAAATGGTGCACACCTAACACAAAACACACAAAAAAATCAATTGAATATTTTGATTATTTCAGGTCTTTCGTACTGATCTCTGATGTGACAATCAAGTTAGCCTACCAGGGAAAAGGATGTGATATGGACAGTGTGAGTTTGATTCTCTATCATCATGCACCCTCAGAATTATGGGATATAATTATAGTAGTTTACACTATGAAGTCTTATTACAGGTTTTTGAAAACAGAGTCTTACGACAAATCTTTGGACCCATCAAAGATGCAAACAGCGGGGAATGGAGAGTGAGAAGCAACAACGAAATTCATCATCTGTTTAAATCACCTTTGATCACTGGCATCATGAGAGCTGATTGAAATGGTTGGGGCATATTGAGAGAATGTCAGATGACAGACAGGTGAAAACTGTTTACACAAGGGAGATGAATGGTCGTAGACCACGAGGCAGACCAAGAAGACGATGGAGAGATAATGTCCAGACAGACCTATAAACACTTGGTGTTACCAACTGGAAAGAGAAGGCCAACCAGAGAGAGGAATGGAGGCGGGTGATATCTGCAGCAATGAACCTCAAGGGCTTAGAATGCTGCAGAAAAAGAAGATTATGAACACTGACATTGCACATTGGGCATAACCATGCATGCTTAGTCCTCCCATGCAGCAGCTGTCCCACTGTACGTCTGCTGACAGTTTTTATATAAAGTTGGTTATCACATCTCCTATCTTGATCTAAAAAACATATCATAGCCATGCTTCACCATTCTTTACTTGCAGGTTATGTAGTTGGGTTAGCGTAAGGTGCTCCACCATCTAGTCCGTAACGTTGTTGAATAAATCAGCTGTCTCTATGCTTATGAGTCCACAGTGCTTGTTTCTGTAGTACTGGTGTGTTACTGGGGCCCTTAAGGGATGCAAAGAATAGTAATGCTCTAACTACCATGCATGTCATATGAGCCAGCTAAGGAGAGCTGCAGCTGGCTACCTCAAAATCCAGGCAGATATGAACAAGTCTGCTAAAACTAGCCTATGCTCCATTTGGAGGTGGAAAGCAGATGAAGAAAATTCCGCAGGTTAATCAGTTGTTTAGGTTCTTAATTTATAACGTACCCCAAACACGAAATTCCCGTGGGAAATCCACAGCTGACCTGACAGTCCATTATTTCAAGGGGTGCAAGTGTGCTGTTGTGTGGTGCTGTTTCTGAGTGTTCATCTAGTGTCTTCTAACCCTAACCCAAAACTTGGCTGTAAATAAATCGCGAGAAACTACAACCTGAAAACCCTAGAATTTATTGGGAATGTCTCCCGTGACGTAGTCGTGACGTCAGGGGTAAGTTATAAATGAAGTACCGTTGTTTGTGAGGTGTCCACTGCAGTTACTCATTAGATACTGCTTTTCCCCACCTGTGTTTGGGTGTATTGATCATTCTGTATGTGCTTCTTTTGTCTGATTGGTTTTCAGACCCATTTGGTTATGAAAGGGATCTAGTACTTCTTCTTCTGTGATCTCTGGTCATCCTCTTAACCTACTGTGGGCCATAAACTGGGATGTCATCTCAAGGTCTCTTAGGTTTATCCAAGGCTTAGTTGTCATATCTACTGGCTGTTGCCACAAGTTGGCTCACAGCTCTACCAAGAGAAGACAATCTTGCAAAACATGTTCTAGAGACAGTCTTGCAAGACATGTTCTGGAGTCTGTTGAGCGCGAAGACACTGGCAGAGAGCTGTTTGGTTCATAACTAATTTAAATGAGCATTTGTTGAGTTTGCCGTATCCAGTATGTAAGCGAAAAACTGTAACTTGGTCTGCTCTGTTCAAGTGATTGAGGAAATCTGTGCATGGTTTTTAGGGAGCCACGTTAGTCGATAGGAGACTTGCTTTCAAATCCACCTGCGACTCGCTGTAGCCCACATTTGGTGTTCGAAACCGGGCGGTTCCTGGGGTTCACCCAACCTCTAGGAAATGGGTACCAGAGTTTATACTCTGGGGTAAATGGAGAAACATTGCTGTAGCTATGGGGTTACGTGCAGAAGGTGACACAGGTGAACAGTTTCTTATCAGCTGCCTGTACTGGTGGCAGAGCACTTATGGTTTATAACCGTGTGCAATGACGCTGGTTCACATCTCCCGACTTTACCTTAACTTTTGTTTATGGTTATAACCTGTACCAGTCTGTTTGTGCTTCTGTAGAGGATAATGAATGAATGGCAGAGTTGAAATATTATGTTTGAGTTTCAGAGAAAAGTCGAGTTTCTCTTCTGTCTTTGCAGGGACCAGTAGGACTAATGCTTGGCCTCATCTCACTCAATGGGTCGGTCATTACACTGAGGAAGCTGCATCTTCAGAAAGGGTGGGTGATTTCTTTAGATGATTCTCTGTAATTTATAACTCCTTCAGCACCAAAGATATGTTACTTTAACTCCTTATATGCCAATGAGTTGAGCTAAAGAGCTATGCAGATTTTGGTTTCAAGTTCAACAGAGACACTATTGATTGGACAGGGGTTGAGTTCACGCACAGGGGTAGGCAGAAAAGCCACACATTTCCCAGATTTAGGGTATCTATTGTTGTGATATCCATAGTACCGAACCAAAGGGTTTACAACTCGTGGTTTCTGGATTTAAAAAAAAAAAAACATTCTGATCATCATCTTCCTGTAATTGTGTCGTTGGGTTACCGGTTGCTGTTGACTATCTGATCAGCTCCCTCCACCTTCAACGGTCAGATGCAATGGACTTCATGGTTGCATGCCTAAGGTCTGTCCAGTCAGTCAGTTTCTGTATTGAGATCTTTCTTGGTCTGCCTCTTCTCCACTTCCCCTCTACTGAGCCCTGGAGTATTGTTTTTTCGAGTTAATATAATATATATCTGTGACTGAAGTCAGTATGAACATTTCCCCATTTGGGTTCCGGGGCTCTATTATAGGGAAAACAAGAATAGACCCTCTGCCTACCCAAAAGCATGTCCTAAGGGTCGACTAATTGGGAGCTTCCTTCAAAGTCGGAGTGCATCTGCCTGAGAGACAAGGAAGCAACAGTCTGCACACAAATTAGTCAGGTCTGTCAAACAGATGCACACGTAACACTCAGGTTCTGAAACAGAACTTTCCACCAGAGTTAACAGCTGGTGAGCGCAAAGAAGAAGTAGTATGAACATTATTTTATCTTTGGAATCACCAAGAAATGGGTAGTGAGTTGCCTGGTAGTGAAAGAAAGAGAGGGTAAGCAAGAGAAATAGAAAGAATAATGCAAACATAGGAGTAAAAAGTATTGGCTTGTCTTAGTGAGTAAAAAAACTGACAACATAGTATGCTCTCCTTGGTAACTGTATTATAACATTAATATTGTTGGAGGAATTGTGGGTGACCGCTGTTAACTGTGTAATAAGGTTGGTATTGTTTGGGTGGTTGTGATAAGGTTGGTATTTGTGGTTGGTTGTGATAAGGTTGGTATTGTTTGGGTGGTTTGTGATAAATTGGTATAGTTTGGGTGGTTGTGATAAGGTTGGCATTGTTTGGTTGGTTGTGATAAGTTTGTATAGTTTGGGTGGTTGTGATAAGGTTGGCATTGTGTGGGTGGTTGTGATAAGATTGGCATTGTGTGGGTGGTTGTGATAAGGTTGGCATTGTGTGGGTGGTTGTGATAAGGTTGGCATTGTGTGGGTGGTTGTGATAAGGTTGGCATTGTGTGGGTGGTTGTGATAAGGTTGGCATTGTGTGAGTGGTTGTGATAAGGTTGGTATAGTTTGGATGGCTGTGATAAGGTTGGTATTGTGTGGGTGGTTGTGATAAGGTTGGTATTGTGTAGGTGGTTGTGATAAGGTTGGCATTGTTTGAGGGGTTGTGATAAGGTTGGCATTGTGTGGGTGGTTGTGATAAGGTTGGTATTGTGTGGGTGGTTGTGATAAGGTTGGTATAGTTTGTTTGGCTGTGATAAGGTTGGTATTGTGTGGGTGGTTGTGATAAGGTTGGTATCGTTTGGGTGGTTGTGATAAGGTTGATATTGTGTGGGTGGTTGTGATAAGGTTGGTATTGTGTGGGTGGTTGTGATAAGGTTAGCATTGTGTGGGTGGTTGTGATAAGGTTGGCATTGTGTGGGTGGTTGTGATAAGGTTGGTATTGTGTGGGTGGTTGTGATAAAGTTGGCATTGTGTGGGTGGTTGTGATAAGGTTGGCATTGTATGGGTGGTTGTGATAAGGTTGGCATTGTGTGGGTGGTTGTGATAAGGTTGGCATTGTGTGGGTGGTTGTGATAAGGTTGGCATTGTGTGGGTGGTTATGATAAGGTTGGCATTGTTTTGGTGGTTGTGATAAGGTTGGCATTGTGTGGGTGGTTGTGATAAGGTTGGTATAGTTTGGGTGGTTGTGATAAGGTTGGTACTGTGTGGGTGGTTGTGATAAGGTTGGTATTGTGTGGGTGGTTGTGATAAGGTTGGCATTGTGTGGGTGGTTGTGATAAGGTTGGTATTGTGTGGGTGGTTGTGATAAGGTTGGCATTGTGTGGGTGGTTGTGATAAGGTTGGTATTGTTTGGGTGGTTGTGATAAGGTTGGCATTGTTGGGGTTGTTGCAGACTGTTGGGGTGGAACAAGCTGCTGATGTATATAGCCAACGAGTGGTTGAAGGACATCCGGCTCAATCAGATACACTCCATTCTCAAGGGCTTCGGAAGCTTCTCCATACTCTGCCAGATTGGTGAGTTTGTCTTTGATGTCCTTTTGTCTGTGATATTTAGTGAGTTTGTTTATATGTCTTTGATGTCATTTTGTCTGTGACATTTGGTGAGTTTGTTTGTATGTCTTTGATGTCATATTGTGTGTGAAATTGTGTGAGTTTGTATGTCTTTGATGTCATTTTGTCTGTGACATTTGGTGAGTTTGTTTGTATATGTTTGATGTCATTTCATCTATGACATTTGGTGAGTTTGTATGTCTTTGATGTCATTTTGTCTGTGACATTTGGTGAGGTTGTTTGTATGTCTTTGATGTCATTTTGTCTGTGACTGTGACATTTGGTGAGTTTGTTTGTATGTCTTTGATGTCATTTTGTCTGTGACATTTGGTGAGTTTGTTTGTATGTCTTTGATGTCATATTGTCTGTGAAATTTTGTGAGTTTGTTTGTATGTGATGTCATTTTGTCTGTGATATTTGGTGAGTTTGTTTGTATGTCTTTGATGTCATATTGTCTGTGACTGTGACATTTGGTGAGTTTGTTTGTATGTCTTTGATGTCATTTTGTCTGTGACTGTGACATTTGGTGAGTTTGTTTGTATGTCTTTGATGTCATTTTGTCTGTGACATTTGGTGAGTTTGTTTGTATGTCTTTGATGTCATTTTGTCTGTGGCATTTGGTGAGTTTGTTTGTATGTCTTTGATGTCATATTGTCTGTGAAATTTTGTGAGTTTGTTTGTATGTGATGTCATTTTGTCTGTGATATTTGGTGAGTTTGTTTGTATGTCTTTGATGTCATTTTGTCTGTGATATTTGGTGAGTTTGTTTGTATGTCTTTGATGTCATTTTACCTCATCATCTGGTAAATTGTAAAGTTAATACCATTGACGTCATCTGGTAAATGGTTGAGTCAGTGCCGTTGTTCATAGTATCTGATAAATGGTAAGTCAGGTGACAATGAAGCTTCGGAACCCACATTGGGAAATTCTAGAATTGTTTCATTTGTGTCTGCAGTTCAGGGACTCACAGATCTGGTTCGCCTGCCCATTGAGCAGTACCAGAAGGACCGGCGGATCATCCGAGGCTTGCAGCGAGGGGCCAATTCTTTCACTCTTAATACCATCATGGCGATCCTGGAGCTGACCAACAAAGTTGTGGGTTCTATACAGGTGAGGGTGTCATTGATAGTTTTATGTCTGGTTGAAGTTGTGGGTTCTGTACAGGTGAGGGTTGATAGTTTCATGTCTGGTTGAAGTTGTTGGTTCTATACAGGTGAGGATGTCATTGATAGTTTCATGTCTGGTTGAAGTTGTGGGTTCTATACAGATGAGGGTGTCATTGATAGTTTCATGTCTGGTTGAAGTTGTTGGTTCTATACAGGTGAGGATGTCATTGATAGTTTCATGTCTGGTTGGAGTTGTTGGTTCTATACAGGTGAGGGTGTCATTGATAGTTTCATGTCTGGTTGAAGTTGTTGGTTCTATACAGGTGAGGATGTCATTGATAGTTTCATGTCTGGTTGAAGTTGTGGGTTCTATACAGGTGAGAGTGTCATTGATAGTTTCATGTCTGGTTGAAGTTGTTGGTTCTATACAGGTGAGGGTGTCATTGATAGTTTCATGTCTGGTTGAAGTTGTTGGTTCTATACAGGTGAGGATGTCATTGATAGTTTCATGTCTGGTTGAAGTTGTGGGTTCTATACAGGTGAGGATGTCATTGATAGTTTCATGTCTGGTTGAAGTTGTTGGTTCTATACAGGTGAGAGTGTCATTGATAGTTTCATGTCTGGTTGAAGTTGTTGGTTCTATACAGGTGAGGGTGTCATTGATAGTTTCATGTCTGGTTGAAGTTGTGGGTTCTATACAGGTGAGGGTGTCATTGATAGTTTCATGTCTGGTTGAAGTTGTTGGTTCTGTACAGTTGAAAGTTTAATGTCTAGTTGAAGTTGTTGGTTCTGTACAGTTGAAAGTTTCATGTCTACTCGAAGTTGTTGGTTCTGTACAGTTGAAAGTTTCATGTCTACTCGAAGTTGTTGGTTCTGTACAGTTGAAAGTTTCATGTCTACTCGAAGTTGTTGGTTCTGTACAGTTGAAAGTTTCACATCTGGTTGAAGTTGTTGGTTCTGTACAGGTGAGAGTGTTGTTGATAGTTTCATGTCTGCTTGAAGTTGTTGGTTCTGTACAGGTGAGGGTGTTGTTGAATGTTTCACATTTGCTTGAAGTTGTTGGTTCTGTACAGTACAGGTGAGGGTGTTGTTGAATGTTTCACATCTGATTGTAGTTGTATTTAGGTTTTACTATGTTTTAGGAACTGCACAAGTGAAAGACACTTGCAAATAGTAGAGGCCAGTGTATCTAGTTGGTCTTAGTTCCAAGTTCAAGGCTAATTGGGTTGTCCCATAATTGTTTAATTCCTATGCTAGCAAAGATTCCTCTGAATGTCTAACACTTTCCTTTGGAAAGAATTGAAGTGGACTACACTCCCAGCAAATCCAAAAACATTCAGATATTTAAAATATATAAGGCAGCTACCAGAATTGCCAACACAGTTTGTCAGTTGAAATAGATTTTGTTGGTAATGTAAGCAACAGCGGCAACACATTAGTAATTGCACACGCAATACTGCATAAGGTGGCACCAGTTATGTGATAACAGGCCACCTACCACATTGCTCACTACAAGTGTACACAAAGATGAGTCAGTAAATCTGCTACTTCTTCTTCAGCATTCCGAGCCCTTGAGGTTCATTGCTGCAGATAGCACCCGCCTCCACTCATCTCTCTGGTTGACCTTCTCTTTCCAGTTGGTAATACCAAGTATTTGTAGGTCTGGCTGGATGTTATCTCTTCATCTCTTCGTCTTCTTAGTTTGTCTCGTGATCTACGACCATTCAACTCCCTTGTATACAGTTTTTAGCTCTATGTCATCTGACATTCTCTCAATATGCCCCCAACCATTTCAGTCTATTAGCTCTCATGATGCCAGTGACCAGTGGCGATTTAAACAGATTATGAATTTCGTTGTCGCTTCTCACTCTCCATTTCCCAGCTTTGACGGTCCAATGATTTGTTGTGAGAGAGAGACGCATGCAGATGTGCGCACGCACACACGAACACACACACACACACACACACACACATATATATATATATATATATATATATATATATATATATATATATATATATATATATATATATATATATATATATATATATATATATATATATATATATATATATATATATATATATATATATATATATATATATATATATATATATATATATATAAATGATACTACAGCAGATAAAAAGGAGCTTTCCTGGCAATAGGAAATCTATGAAAGTCAATAGAAATTAAACATAGTGCCAAACTTTGATGTCAGATCACTACTGTTTTATTCTGCAGAAAAATGGAGAACAACTAAAACAGTCGCTAATAAAATTTAAACATTCATTACTGCTGCCTATAGAATGTAGAAGAAATGAAATGGTACGACAGAATCACTAGTATACAAACAAATAAATGGAAAGAACTGAAGAGAGTCCTGTGGATCAACAGATAAAAAGAAACGCTGGTACTGGATAGGACATTCACAAAATCTGTTAATAGTATAACTAGGATTTCCTTGCCCATGAGCCCATGGGGTAAAACAACTTTGAACTTCCCCATAAAATGGCGGCCGTAATATGATGGCACATTCTGGCCATAAAATATCCAAATATATCCGAACGGTGTTCAGGCGTATCTAAAATACAGACTTTTTGCCAAGGAACAAATCGCGGCAAAACTAGGATTACTTGACAATCAGTATCAACATTGCACACGGTAGTAGCAGACGATAAACACCGACCGTTGACAATTTCAAGCGTTTCTGCAGACGATACTAGCAGACGATATTAGCGACCGTTGACCAATTTCGAGACATTACAGACGATGAAAGCGATTAGCAATACTGTGTTCTTCCGATTGGAGGATTTAGCAGCAGTAGGTGTCAGACTTGTCGGCATGCGCAAAATGCGATTAAACTCATCGCTATGCGAGGCACCGATGAGGGGCTAAACTAGGTGCCTCACGAGTAAAGTAATTGGAGGAAGTTGCAGGAGATGCGGTAGCTGCCGCTCGTGAGACCCAGCCATCTAGTTTAGTCCCCATCCACGCCGCGCATAGCGGCGCGGGGGATACGGTCTGGGGTAAGAGCACACTCGCAGAAGCAGGTCCGCAAGTAACGTATCGCCGAGACCCTGTTAGAGCATTTGTTTCTTTATGCGGAGCCGGCACATATATTTTTAATAGAACTGAGCCCCATTTTATGGGGAAGTTCAAAGTAGAGCCAAAAAATGCAACCCCCCCCCCCCCCCCCCCCCCCCCCACATATGCACGCACACACACACACACATACGCACCACACACACACAAGGAAATTGTGGCGTTTATATTAGCTGATAGAGACAGATAGCCTTAACATTCTTTGTTTCTTGCTGTCCAACTGTTTATATATTAACAGTTTTACTTCAGTGTAAGACCATTAATGTTGATTTTGACAATCCTCTGAACACAGCAGCCAATGAGCTTTGGGATTTATCCTGTAAAGCAGAGGTTCTCAACCTTCCTGATGCCTTGACCCTTTAATACAGTTCCTCATTTGTGGTGACCCCCCAACCATACAATTATTTTTGTTACTACTTTGTAACTTCAGTGAATATGTGTTTTCCGATGGTCTTAGGTGACCCCTGTGAAATGGTTGTTTGACCCCAAAGGGGTCATGACCCATAGGTTGAGAACCGCTGTTGTAAAGTATGCTACTAACTTTGGGGGGAGGGGGGGGGGGGCACTGCAGTTTGGCTGTGTTTGTTAGATTTATGCTACAGTTGTTTAAACACTAAAAGGTGTCCTTTTTTTCAGTACTGTGCTGAGCTAGGATATGACATGCTGTCACCGGGTCCAAGTGTCAAACGACGCAAACAACTACGCCATCGCACTCGACAACCAAGGACAACAGCTGAGGGTGCCAAGGCAGCTCTACAGCTGGTCACGGAGGTACAGGGATTTGTTATTATAGTCTGTTCGATGTGTCATCATAGCATCTGTTTGTTGTGTCATCTTAGAGTCTGTTTGTTGTGTCATCATAAAGTCTGTTTGTTGCATCATCATTGGGTTTGTTGTGTCATCATAGAGTTTGTTTATTGTGTCATCATTTAGTCTGTTTTGTCATCATTGAGTCTGTCTGTTGTGTCATCATAGAGTTTGTTAGTTATGTCATCATAGAGTCTGTTTGTTGCCTCATCATAGCGTCTGTTTGTTGTGTCATTGTAGAGTTTGTTTGTTGTGTCTTCATGTTTGTTTATTTGTTGTGTCACCATAGCGTATGTTTGTCGTGTCATCATAGCATCTATGTGTTATTTCATCATAGCATTTGTTTGTTTTGTCATCATTGAGTCTGTTTGTTGTGTCATCGTAGAGTTTGTTTGTTGTGTCACCGTAGCATATGTTTGTCATGTCATCATAGCATCTATGTGTTATTTCATCATAGCATATGTTTGTTTTGTCATCATTGAGTCTGTTTGTTGCGTCATCATAGAGTCTGTTTTTGTGTCATCATAGAGTCTGTTTGTTGCATCATCATTGGGTCTGTTGTTTCATCATTTAGTCTGTTTTGTCATCATTGAGTCTGTCTGTTGTGTAATCATAGAGTTCGTTAGTTATGTCATCATAGAGTCTGTTTGTTGCCTCATCATAGCGTCTGTTTGTTGTGTCATTGTAGAGTTTGTTTGTTGTGTCGTCATAGTTTGTTTGTTTGTTGTGTCACCATAGCGTGTGTTTGTCGTGTCATCATAGCATCTATGTGTTATTTCATCATAGCATATGTTTGTTTTGTCATCATTGAGTCTGTTTGTTGCGTCATCATAGAGTCTGTTTTTGTGTCATCATAGAGTCTGTTTGTTGCATCATCATTGGGTCTGTTGTGTCATCATTAAGTCTGCTTGTTGTGTCATCATAGAGTTTGTTTGTTGTGTCATCATTTAGTCTGTTTTGTCATCATTGAGTCTGTCTGTTGTGTCATCATAGAGTCTGTTTTTGTGTCATCATTGAGTCTGTATGTTGCATTTATCATTGGGTCTGTTGTATCATCATTAAGTCTGCTTGTTGTGTCATCATAGAGTTTGTTTGTTGTGTCATCATTTAGTCTGTTTTGTCATCATTGAGTCTGTCTGTTGTGTCATCATAGAGTTTGTTAGTTATGTCATCATAGAGTCTGTTTGTTGCCTCATCATAGCGTCTGTTTGTTGTGTCATTGTAGAGTTTGTTTGTTGTGTCGTCATAGTTTGTTTGTTTGTTGTGTGTGGTCATCCATAGTGTCATCATATCATCATAGCTGTCATCATAGTTTGTTTGTTGTGTCATCATAGAGTTTGTTTGGTGTGTCACCATAGCAAATGTTTGTCATGTCATCATAGCATCAATGTGTTATTTCATCATAGCATATGTTTGTTTTGTCATCAATGAGTCTGTTTGTTGTGTCATCATTTAGTCTGTTTTGTCATCATTGAGTCTGTCTGTTGTGTCATCATAGAGTTTGTTAGTTGTGTCATCATAGAGTCTGTTTGTTGTGTCATCATTTAGTCTGTTTTGTCATCATTGAGTTTGTCTGTTGTGTCATCATAGAGTTTGTTAGTTGTGTCATCATTTAGTCTGTTTTGTCATCATTGAGTCTGTCTGTTGTGTCATCATAGAGTCTGTTTGTTGCCTCATCATAGAGTCTGTTTGTTGTGTCATTGTAGAGTTTGTTTGTTGTATCGTCATAGTTTGTTTGTTTGTTGTGTCACCATAGCATATGTTTGTCCTGTCATCATAGCATCTATGTGTTATTTCATCATAGCATATGTTTGTTTTGTCATCATTGAGTCTGTTTGTTGAGTCATCATAGAGTCTGTGTGTGATAGTAGAAAGTAAATGACCTATATATAAATGACATATCACTCTTGCAGCTTATTAATCTCTTTACCCATACCACCACTTGCAGGAAATATTCATGAACCCAGCAATTCCCCAAAACCACACTGAAAGAATTGTTACAAAAATGTTATGTATTTATGTCTTCATTCAAAAATAAATTTCAAAGAGGAATGTTGAATTAAGAATCGACATCTCAGCACTCGGAACACTCCCATAAGTGCTCCGTCCCCATCTTCAGTAGCAAGTGAAGAGTTCCAATTCCGATGGCACCAGTAGTTGTCTAATTGTGTATTCGTCATTTTTAAAGAGGATAAATGAAGGAAAGTAATCCAAACATGAAACGGAGCAGAAAATTAAATACCCTTGGGTCATAAATAAATTTATGTGGTGACTGATATCATGACCCCTTTCCTGTGTGACATCTAAAGGCTAATGGGGAATAATGTCATTATGATGTCATGGGAGTCACCGTGGTATAGGAGCTAGACATCCGCCGGCAGGCCCACAGGTCGTGGGTTCTAATCTACATTGAGTCAGATTTGTTTCTCTTAAATGACCTTGGTTCCCAGGCCAGCCCAGCTGAAGATGGGGACCTACCAGTTGGGGTCCTAGGAAGTAAAGGCAGCCAGCATAAAGTTGACAACATCACCCATCAAGTGTCGGTTGGTTTACAGAAGTCTCTCTCATGATACTGATACATGATAAGGCAGATGTTGTTAGTTCCTTTTGGGAGAGCGTGTACAGTTTGGAGGAGCAGATGGATCACCACTGTCTGGTGAGATTGATGCAGCGGGGAGTGACAAGAGGTTCTGGCAGAAGCTGGAGGCTCAGAGGAAAGGCAAGACGGACGTGTAATCGGAATGCTACTGGCACCATTAGTATAGGAACTCTTCGCTGGCTGCTGAAGGTGGGGACGGGGCACTTATGGGAATGCCCGAGTGCTGTGATGTCGGTTCTTGAATCAAATCAATTCAAATCAAAACTCTTATGATATGCCCGATATGCTACAAGCATGAAAAGAGTCCTTTTTTGTTAAATGACCTCATAATCACTTTTTGTCGGCTCTGTGGCTAAGTCGATGCGAACACTTCGCTTCGTAATGCCGGGATGCCAGGTTCGATCCCAGCTGCGGGCAATGCGCCTTGCGTTGGTTTCGACAGTGGTATCAAGAAAGCCAACCGTCCAGAAAGCAATGGCAAACTACTGGACGTAAATTTGCCTAGAGAAACCACACAACAGCCAGGGGCTGTTAGGGTTGGTTCTGCAACGTCCTCTAGAGGATACGCAACAACCAATCACTTTTTTAAAAAGCCATGATTTACCCCAGTAATACCTTCCCCTTGCTATTATTGTTTTTATAGAATCAAACCTGGCCCTCCTAGACACTGCTGAGGTGCAAACAGAACCGCTGCTCTGGTCATCTTATTAATCTTAGTCTTAATCTTAGTCTTATTAACTTCATAGCTGCTGGGCACTGGTCATCTTGTTAATCTTAGTCTTAACTTCATAGCTGCTGGGCACTGGTCATCTTATTAATCTTGTTAATAGCTTAGTCATCTTATTAATCTTAGCTTAGCTTATAGCAAATCAGTCACGTTCATAGCTGCTGGGCATTGGTCATCTTATTAATCTTAGTCTTAACTTCATAGCTGCTGGGCACTGGTCATCTTGTTAATCTTAGTCTTAACTTCATAGCTGCTGGGCACTGGTCATCTTGTTAATCTTAGTCTTAACTTCATAGCAAATCAGTCACATTCATAGCTGCTGGGCACTGGTCATCTTGTTAATCTTAGTCTTAACTTCATAGCTGCTGGGCACTGGTCATCTTGTTAATCTTAGTCTTAACTTCATAGCAAATCAGTCACGTTCATAGCTGCTGGGCACTGGTCATCTTGTTAATCTTAGTCTTAACTTCATAGCTGCTGGGCACTGGTCATCTTGTTAATCTTAGTCTTAACTTCATAGCTGCTGGGCACTGGTCATCTTGTTAATCTTAGTCTTAACTTCATAGCAAATCAGTCACGTTCATAGCTGCTGGGCACTGGTCATCTTGTTAATCTTAGTCTTAACTTCATAGCTGCTGGGCACTGGTCATCTTGTTAATCTTAGTCTTAACTTCATAGCTGCTGGGCACTGGTCATCTTGTTAATCTTAGTCTTAACTTCATAACTGCTGGGCACTGGTCATCTTGTTAATCTTAGTCTTAGCTTCATAGCTGCTCTGTTACTGTGCTAGTAAAACACACACAGAATGTTCATCACTGTCCTTTGTGGAAAAATTAACACAGACTTCAGTCTCAGCTTATCCACTAGCATACACACGCATTAAAAGCATAAGGCAGTCATCAGAAGTGCTGACACAAACAGTCCGACATTTAAAATTTAAAATTGACTGAAGTAAACTGGTCAATGCAAAAGGCTACTTTAACAGTTTTGCAGGGGATTTTTAATAAATGGTTTCACCAGATTGGCGCATCTTGGGTGAAGCAGTTTTAGACTTTATCTTTTTGCAGTCTTCTTCAAACAATCAGTCAGTATCTCCTTGTGGGTTTTCGGGCCCCGTCGCGAGGGAGAAAAAGAAAAGACCCACTGCAGCTGGTGACCACGAAGAAGTGGTTTTTTTTTTTAGGTATTTTGTTGTTGTTGACAGGTCAGTAGATGTTATTACGAGATAGCTTCAAATGAAAATCTCAAAAGTGTGATAGAAATTGCAATAACCAAGCGATTGTCTTGTAACCCGTCATTATTGTTGTTAATGATGCCAAGAGTGTTAAGCACCTGACCTCATGCTATAAAAAAAAGCGGTGAAGTCATAGCTTAAAGATGGCCTCCCCACTTTTGACATGCACTGGAGAGGCTCACTGTTCTGTTATCCATTTTTTTTTTATCCTCACACTATAAAAATTTTAATTAGAAGCTCTCTCTTTCTAAACCATTTCATTTTCAAGAGTGATATGTCATTGAAAGTTATAGTTTACATAGAATAGTGTATAAAATATTGTTGTTTGAACAGTGATTTCTCTTGTCTTCCTGACAGGGGGTGAAAGAGTCAGCCTCCCACTTGTCTGCCGTGGTCAGTGAGGAGAGTGCCCACAAAGGCTACGTGGGAATTGTGGGGGGCTCACTGAGGAACGCCACACCAGAATTGTTTTTGAAACCCTTAGCCTTGCTGGCGGAGGCCGGAACCAACATTGTGCAGGGAGCAAGGAATGAGGTTGATCCCAGTGTTATGAAAGAGGAGGAGGATAGGTGGAAGCAAGCTTGATGTGGGTGTGTGGGGGTAACATGAAGGCACATCTGGTGTGGGTGCTTATGTGGGAGTAAACATGTGGGTATTTGTGTGGTGGTAGGTGGTAACATATGTCTTTTGTGGGGGTAAGATGGAGGCACATTTGGTGCGAGTGTCTATGTGGGGATAGACAGATACACAGGTGGGTATTTGTGTGGTGGTAGATGAAGGCTGTGTGTTGTGTGGAAGTAAGATGGAGGTTCATTTTGTGCTGGTGTTTGTGGGAGGTAGACAGATACACATGTGGGTGTTTGTGTGGTGGTAGATAGAAGTTGTGTGGAGGTAAGCTGGAGGCACATTTTGTGCTGGTGTTTGTGCGAGGTAGACAGATACACATGTGTGTGTTTGTGTGGTGGTAGCTAAAGGCTTTTGCCCAATGCCTCTTGAAAACCTGATGCTGAAAGGCAATACAGTACCACTTGTACCGCGGTGAAGGACATTAGAGTCTTCTGCCCCTTCTTTTCTTTCACTGTAAAATCTAGCAGAAAGTTCTGATGGTTCATCTGCTTTTGGACTTGAGTCTTTTTACAGAACTGAAGTATTGTGTGAACATCCATTGTACAGATTTGGCTTATGTGCGTGCAGATTGTTGTTGGTTCCTTGCCTCTTAGTCAGATGCACTGCAATTTTGAAGCAAGCCCCCTAATTTGTCAGCTTCTACTATGTGCTTTGGGAGACTTTGAGGTCTGTTCTTGTTTTTCTCCTGAACCCACACGGGGAATTGGGGTCTTTAAGCCTGAGGAATTAGGGGTGCATGACTAGTACAGTCATCACATCACAGACTGTCGGTTAGTTTTGTTTCCTTTTATTCTAATCCCCAACAGTCAAGTGGCCATCACCTTATCAGGGATTCGAACCCTGGTCTCCTCCATGAGAGCTGAATGTTGTCTGTTTGAAAAGAGGTTTGTGGCTTTGATAGAGTGCCAGCCAATGTTTAATTTGCATATCATGAGTTTCTTTGCAGAAATAAGAGTTGTCTTGTCATGAAAATGCAATATTTGATTTGTGTATTTTTGTGAAGTTGAATATGTGTTACATTTTTTAATTGCTTCAGTTTTGACAAAGCAGCACTATGTGATTATGCACATAATCAGCAATGTAATAATCAATACCAGATGTGGATATATGTGATTATGGCTTATAGTACAGTTGTTGCAGCCACATTTGAATCATGGATTTTGTCATGGTTCAACATTTTTATGCTTTGTAATTATGCTATATGTTCGGTGCCTGTGGTTGAATTTATATTTTCTGTATGGTGTGGTTAATTTCTACTTCTTCTTTTGTTTGCTTGAAGTAGATAATCTCTATCTGCAATGTTGTCTCTAGTGTGAACTTCAATGTCTTTTGTAAATCACTCACCCATAAAGGTTAATTTCTACTGATTACATTAATTGTGCCGTCTCCATAATGAGAGTTGACTGCAATGTATCCTTTGCTAACTATGAGATTATTAAGTGTTAAGGCCCCAGTCTCTTCCATGGTGTTATTCTTATACTAGTCTGAAAGACACTAGAACGATCTTTAACTCCCATGACGGCGGTGGAACTATGGTAAATGTAAAGTATTATACATTGCAGACAATTTAAGGCGATCTCGGATGTGGTGAATTTCTGATGTGAAGAACAATTTGTTTATCTCCTGCAGTTTTTGTCTTGCTTGGATTTGTATATTGATAAGAGAAATTCCTGATATGAAGAACTATATCTTGGGTGCCCTGGGAGTTCTCTTTATCCCATCTGCACTGTATTGTGAGACCAGGATGTCATATAAATTTCTATACATAGAAAAAAATAAACTTTTTTTCTAATGATAGGATGCCATTAAAAAAAAATAAACTGGCAAGCCTGTTTTCAGACATTTAAGGGGGGAGAGGGTTAATTTAAGTTCAGTGATGATGACAATTAATCCTAGAGCTGGCTTTACTAAAATGTTACATTCTAATTTTGCATGATGTTTGACAGTAGTGTAGCAGGTATTGATTGTTTTCACCAGAACCCATGTAAGGGTTTCAGTTTGTCATTTCACTTGTACCCTCTTATATCTGATGTTGACATTTTAGTGTGTTTTTTTGTTGGATCATTTCTGATAAAACTGGGTTTTTTTTCCCTGTTTTGTTAAGTTAGTTTTTACTGTATGGGCATCATTTTCACATGTTAGTGCATTTGTTATGTGCACTATTAAGTCACAAGACACACAAAAACATCAAAGTTATGCAATGTCAGTTATTAGCTCAGGGGCTAGACAGTGACAGGTCTGCAGATTCACTAGATTTAGTCCTCATGTGGATTCGGGGGCCCCTTTCAGTGGCCCTGCGACCCCAGATTCCGGCAACTTTGTGAACAACTTCCCACTGTTCCCACCATCGCCCCCCCCCCCCTCCCCCGACATTCAACAAACTGAATTTACTGATAACACGTACGCTGTAACACCAAGCACTGACATACTGTTGGTTTTAAGCTAGGACAAACGCAGACAAGACAGTATAATTAAGATAAGCTGTCTGTTCTCTTTATTGAGTGTTGATCTAAGAACTGACATCGCAGCACTACAGACATTCCCATAAGTGCTCTGTTTTTCTATTTTACGTGAAGTCACTGGATCAATGTTTAAAATAAGCCACCTTCAGTAAAGAACCTTTCATGTTATTGGGGTGTGGGGGGGGGGGGGGGAGGGGGCACTCAAGGGACTGGAGCACCCACCGTCGCCTATGTCTGCCTGAGAGGTGAGGAACCAACAGTCTGCATACCTAGATCTATAAACTGGGTGGGCATGAACTCAAGTTCTGAAACAAGACCAAAGTCCAGAAGTGGACGAACAACCAGAACTGTCTGCCAGAGTTTACAATGAATGCTACAAAAAAACAAAGAGGAGGAGACCAGGTACAATCAAGATTTGTGGGCAGGTTTTATGAAAAAATTTGCTTGAAAACTTTGGGACAGCCGGCACACGTCATGGGAAAGGAGCAGGGAGGAGTTGAACATAAATATCTTGAGGGCTTGACCAAATGTAGACCTCATGCTTAGTGTTATGTGTGGGATTATGGAACTTCACAGTAACTTAGAAAACATAGTGGAAGGTTCAGTTGAATTAAAATGAGTTGGGATCCGACATCATTACACCCAGGACATTCCGGTAAGTGCTCTGTCCTCGCCCCCTCCCCCTTCAGTACCTAATGAAGAGTTCTTTTTTACAGTGGTGCCGGTAGCGGTCTTAATTTATGTCTTGCCTCTCGCCTCAGTGTTGGGGATCTGCACAAATTGGTGGTGAATTGATACATGACAAGGCAGATGTGGTCAAGGCCCTTTGGGAACAAGCAACGAAATCAGTAGAGAAAGAAGATTATTATGGCCTGGAGAGAATGAGGCGCCTTGGTGTAACCAGAAGGTCTGGCCGGCTCATTACACTCAGAGAAAAGGCAAGACGGACATATAACCAGATGTGACCGGTACCATCAGTTTTGGAACTCTGCGCAGGCTGCTGAAGATGAAGACGGAGCACACATGGGAATGCCCTGAGTGCTGTGATGTCAATTCTTGGCTCAACTCAATGTTAAGGATATCAGCCAGATCCCCTTGTCACTTCCCTCTGCACCATTCTATTTACCTAGGGGTGACCGCGATTTTTAGAGCTGGAAATAGGACATTCCACTAATATTTTGAACTGAAAACAGGACAAACATAGTTTCGCAAGCAAATTTAAAATCACTGCACCCTGTTTTTTGTTTCTGGGTCAACCGGGTTAAAGGATTAATTACTCGCTCGGCAATGGTAATGTCGCCCAAAAAAAATCAAGAAAACGGTGCACTGGGAGAAAAAACATGCTACAATGTAATTTCCCATCAGCATATTTCAGGCATTTTTTTTTTTCAAGTATCTAAAACTCTTGAAGGTCCCTAGTCTAAGGACCCCAGATATAGCTACAAAAGCATGTGGTATTCTCACGCTTATTCCTAGATTTTTTTAAGGGGAAAAAGTTTTTTTTTTTGGGTGTAATAATTGGCTGTCTGGACACACCACCACCCCCACCCCCCAAAAGGATTAAGTGATGGTTTGGTCACCAAAACACTGCCAATACTGTGTGCATTTACCATCTCTGCGGTGTAGAAAGGAGGATCATTTAGCCTGAGGATTTAGGGACACATGGCTGGTGCTGTCGCCACGGACTGTGCAGGTTAGGATATTTTTATCCATAATCTCACCTGATGTTTGAAATTGAAATCAGTATTTGGAGGCTGGGTAACCTGGCTGGCACTTGATAATTGTTCCTAATGATAATTGTTTATAATAGTTGGCATCCTTTGGATATTTGCTCCAGGTGATGCCGGTGTGTTGGGAAATGAGCAGGCAGATTGACTGGCGGGCTTTGCACCACTTGGTGGTGAACTGATGTATGAAAAGTAAGATATTTTGAGGGTCTTTTGGAAGTGAGTGAACAGCGCGGAGGGGCAGTTAGATCATTACGGTCTGAGGAGAATGGCACTGCGAGGAGGAGTTACCAGGGGATCTGGCCGACACTCAAAACTTAGGGGAAGGATGAGATGCATATACAACCAGACAGTTACTGGTAGTGTCGGAATTGGAACTCTTCGCTTGTTGCTGAAGATGGGGACTGAGCACTCATGGGAGTGTCTCGAGTGCTGTGATGTCGATTCTTAATTCAACATTTTGTAATTGTTCTTGTACTTTTATGCCATAGAGACCAATGATTATGTTCAATTTGAAATTTTTAGAATTTTCCCTCTAACACACACAAGTACCACAAATCTGTTTCATATCTATAAGGTTTGTAGTTGTTTCACTGGTATCTGTGTATGTAGGTTGTACCCCACCAGGACATCACACAAGCGATGAACACCCCTTGACACAAAGTACCACCTTGTGGATGAGGATCACCCGTGGAGAGGTCCCGAAAACCTCGTTCAGCTGTTACGCTATATTTAGGGCCCCCTGCAAAAGCCAGGGTGGAGCTTCAAA